AGTCATCTGAACCTGGAATAGAGCTAGACAGCTCCCACAACCGGACGCAAGTTCTCTGAAGATTTTGATTTAGCTAATATAACTCGTTCCTTAGATGGAGAGCCAACATACCGGTGCAATATTTGGAAGCCCGGAAATGGCCTAAATACGAGTCGTCAACAATATTGATCTCCAGTCCGTCATCAATATCTACTCACTCCTGCAGAACCACTAGCGATCGAGGGAAGAAGAATATCAATGAACCCATCGATAATTCGAAACTCTGTTTGCTGACCCTGGCGTGGATACTTCTGTTGAAATTCAGCAGTTGAGATAATCGCATTTAGACGCGTGATTTTCCCAACCGAGGCACAGCTGGTTAATGTTAGCTTGGGTGAAAGAAGCCACGGAGGAAAATTTTCATCGTGGTCTTATAGGCCAAGGATCGCGTACGTAAGTTTCACACCCACGACATTCGGGCTGGCCTTGATCACATCCACGATTAGGTCGCTGTCCAGGTCAATACCCCCAGACACGGCCGGGAAATTGTAAAGCACTATAGGCAATGGGCTTTCTTCTGCCACGTCGACAAAGTACTTGGTCAATGCCGTTCGATTGGATAGCTGCCCCGCATAGTAGCCCGAGGGCAGGACCATGGCATAATCGGCACCAGCCGCTTTCGCATCGTGGGCCAATTGGATAGTCTCTCGGGTGCTTGGAGCACCGACACCTGCGACAATCGGTACGCTACTCAGAATTCCATCTCCATCGTCAAGTACGTTGCGGGCTGTCCTGATTAACAAGTTGCGTTCCTGGGAGGTCAGATGAGGAGCCTCCCCGGCAGATCCTGCTATTACAGGAACGGTCCCAGCGGCAGCAACGTATCGAACGTGCGTCTTGTAAGCTTCGAGATCTAAATCTTCGTTGGGTTTGAAAAATGTAGGAAGGGGAGTGTAAATGCCCTTCGGCAGGGGACGGTATGTCAGGCGAGTCATGGTGGACTTGTGAAACTATAGAGAACTTGCTCTCAATTTACGATGTACCCTGTTGATATGCTAAGATGTAATCAATGATATTTATCTTCGTCTCGGCGCTAGTACAAACGCTCCAAGTCATTGGCATCTTGGAGCTAGTAGACACCACCGAGGCGCCGAAGAAGCGAAGTGTGGCGCCGAAGAGGGGGTGCGACACAGGTGTGATAAGATCATCCAATCTACTACTTATTCGATATCCATAAAGCCTACGAATTTAGAATGTGGTATTTAGAAAAGAAGGTTGATCTTCATTTCACACTATATTGTTACTAGAAGACTTAGAATAGACCGTCATCTCAACCTAGGTAGACACCCTACTTAAAACTATACCCATTGCTCAGACATATTAATTGGGAGTTCGAATCTTCCAATACTAGGCGATATTACTTAGAGAGTGTACCGGTAGAGCGGCGATTTCTCCTCCATGCTAGCCAGCTCTTCGGGGGTGTACTGGGCGAGAATTTGATCTTGATCCATGTCGGCCCTCTTCTTATTATCTCTCCTCATCAGCCACCAATGAATAGTAGCCGGTATCATGGCTCCCAGAACAGTAGCACCTACTGAGAAGCCAAACCCAAGGGGGTACACAGGTGCCTGCGAGTCAAGGTAGATATTGGAGCCGATGCCACCTCCCCCGACTGATCCAAATAGCATGAGCAGACCAATGGATGCAGCACGCTTTGAAGGGTTCGGGATGTTGTTTGATGTCCACGCGCCAACAATGGGGGCCTGGGCACTGTAACCCGCCGCAGCAATGAAGATTGCAAAATAAGAAACACCCGAGACATTTGGGAAGTGGACGCTGATCCACAACATGACAATGCCTGAGAGGCCAACAGCATAGCATGTCATGATTGAGATGTAACGTTTCTGGAATCGGTCGCTCATCCAGCCATTGAAGACACAGACGATAGTGGCAAAGATGTATGGCGGGGTGGTAAGAGCCTGTGCCCGAATCGCCGAATAACCCAAGTTACGGACCATTGTAGGCAGCGTGTAAGAAAGGGAGTAGGTTGGGATCGATCCTCCCCACCAGAACATCATCATCATGAGCCACGTCTTGCGATCTTGGGCTGCGGCCCAAACATCGCTCCAGCGGAATTCATAGGTGGGCGCATTTGGACCGGCCACATACTTGACGCGAAGTTTGGAATATTCCAGCTCCTCTGCTGTAAGCCACTTGGTCGTCCGCTTCTCATTATATTGATGGGGAAAGTGGCTATTCACGATGAGGTCAGTTTAGGGCAAGTTTTGAGTGTTTGAAGGTGGTTCTTAACGTACGGGAGGAAGAAGAATGTCATGAGGCCAACAGCAACGGTTATGATGCCCTCGATAAGGAAAAGCCACTCCCAAGCTGTATAACCCTGCTGACCATCTAGATGACCGACGCCATAGGCGATCACACCAGCGAATGCACCGGCTGCAGTGTTGGCGCCATAAAAGATCGCCATACGAGTAGCAAGTTCTCGCGGCGTATACCACATGCTCAGGATGAAATAAGACCCGGGGTAGAGCCCGGCTTCAGAAATGCCAAGAGCCAGACGAATTGCGATGAAGCCACCAAAGCTCCGTACGAGGCTGGTCAGAGTAGTGATGGTACCCCAGGTAACCACAATGATGGGAAACCATATCTTGGGACCAAGACGACGCAATAGAACGTTTGAAACAGGCTCCCAAAGTCCGTAACTGAAGAAGAAGACCATGAGACCAAGATTGAACTGAGTTGGTGTCATGCCTGCATCTGTTGGAAAGTTGAAGATTTTGGCATTGCCAGCGTTAGACTTGTCCAGGGAGCAGAGCAAGTACAAGACGCTCAGAGTTGGGAGGAGGCGCCAATCAACTGCAGAAGGGTCAGTTCATCTGTGCCAGCTTTTCGAGTGAGTTTCAGTATCATACGCTTCCGCAGCAACTTCTTCTTTCCCTCTCCCTCAAACTTGCGGTGCAAGTCCAAGTACCGATCATACTCGGGATTGGGGGAACCGGCCTGGCCCTCGGATACGGAATATACATCTGATACGCCGGCTGTCTTCCTCTCCGTGTCGTCCACCGACGACGAATCATGGGGTTTATCACTCATAGTGTCGGTGGTCGAGGAAAATTATGTTGGAAAGGTTTCGATAAGTTGAAGGGTGTGGTGATAGATCCGACCGACTGGACTTGCTTTTTCCTGTGCGAGAAGATCGACTTTATGCATGCCGCCCTGTCAGAGCAAACAGGCCAAATGCTTGACGGACATCTTGGTCTCAGCAGTATGGGACCAGCCAGTCGGGTCGAGCCAATTGCCAAGAACCGGTACTGAATCGTTATCTATCAACGCCATGCTTTCTGGGGTGTGCCCCGTGGGTGAGCGATCCACAACGCCCACACAACTGATAAGACTAGTTGCACTTCGGCGGTTCGGTGCTAAGTCTTCATTTGTTATCCGGCGACGGCGATTCGGCGGATCATGCCTCAGCCTATGGAGATATAGCAAATCAACGATATGGCTCGGCTCCGGACAGCAAATACGATGTAACAATGCCGAAACGGCGCGCAATCGGTGCCGTGGTGCCCAACCATATGGCCACCTAAGTCCAGTCTCTTTCAGGTACAGTCTGGTGTATAAGATATGCCATCGAAACTGAGATTCAACTTGGCTAAAAACCTTATCTCTACACCTACAAAACCAGTGTATCAGGAAAGATTCCAGAGAGTTTAAGAAAGTCTTGCTAGTTGCTCCTTATCCTATCTGTTCATATCTATCGATCCAATCATGCCTGCAATCACATCGACAACCCAAGCCGCCCCGGCGGAGCCCCTCAAGGTCAAGCTTGTAACCAGAGCAAAGAATGAAGATGGCTCTGCGCTCTACCCAGACTACCTCCCTTTCTACGACCCACTGGAGAAAGTTGAAGACATTGGCGAGTTTGATCACTTCGACCCTGGTCATAGAGCCGACCCAGCGCTGCCAAATCTCCTTGCAACAGCGACAAAAGTGACCGATCTCTCTCCTCATGTGGGTACTGAAATCGAGGGCGTTCAGCTCTCTCAGCTGTCTTCAGCCGGGTTAGATGAATTGGCTTTGATGGCTGCAAAGCGTGGTGCGCTGGTCTTCCGCAACCAAGACTTTCGAGACATCGGCTTTGAGCGACAGAAGGGAATTGTCCGCCATTTCGGGCCCCTCCACATCCACGGATGGGCGCCACATCCGACAGCCGGGTCTGAAGAACACATGATCATCTATGACCACAAGGAGGACCTTCGAGTACGCAAGTCCTGGAAGGGTCGCAGTCCGGTTCAGTGGCACACGGACCAGTCCCCCGAACCGCAGACTCCGGGCACCACCTTCATCTGCATGCTTGAGTCGCCGGCGATGGCTGGAGGCGATACTCTCGTCAGCTCCAGCGTCCAAGCTTTCAAGTCGCTGTCGCCTCGGTTCAGAAAGCGTCTCGAGGGCCTCACGGCGATTCACACCAACAATGACGGTGTAACACAAGAGTTGCAGAACGGACAGCAGGCTGTCATGCGCAGGGCCCAGCTTGTCCAAGAACACCCCGTAGTGATCGTCCATCCCGTCACCAAAGAAAAGGCGCTATGTAAGCATGCATTCCTCAATTACTGTCCACATCGTCTCCATACTCACTAGCCTGCCAGACGTGAACCCTGTTTATACCAAGAAGATTGTGGGTTTCGACGAAGAGGAATCCGACTATCTCCTCAGATTTCTCTTTGACCACATTGCCAAGCGCCAGGACTTCCAGTGCCGGGTTCGATATGAAGCTGGAACCGTACTTGTCTGGGATCAGCGTGTGACCAATCACTCCCAGACATTGGACTATCCTGCCGGCGAGCGCCGACATGCCTTCCGCCTGACCCCGCTAGCGAATAAGCCAATTCCAGCCAAAATTGAGGAAGATGACGGAGAATGTGAGAGGGAAATTGGACGCGCTTCACTGGGACTCTGCTAGATGTCAAGATTGGTTGTAGTTCTGTTTTTAGGGTAAAAGCTCAAAATGTGAAGAGATAATCATCAGAAAATTCAGGCGTGGACCAGTTCTCACTCTGCCACTGCTTCCATGCATCGTGTATCTCCTCTGCAGCTTCAAATATATCCTGACTAACCCCATGTTCATCTGTAATGGCCAATGGCTGCAGCAAGCAAGGCGATTTGTTCTGCATAGTATCATGTAGATTCCCCTCACGGGAGTTGTCAAGGTCAGATTCTTTTCCTTTTTCACTTGGCCGTAAATCTTGGTTACTTGAAGGAACAAATGCTGGGCTGTCTGGTCCGTTGGCCGGGGTAGTTTCGATAGAATTTACACGGATTGACTTCTCGAAAAAGTGGAGGACGGACTCTGCGTTGGGCCAGTGCCTTGAGAGTTGCTTCAAGGATACCAGAGCAGAATCATATCTTCTCAAAGCTGAAACGGCTAAAAGAGGATTCGACAGGCGAATTTCACTACTAAGCTGTATGAGAGCCGTAAAAAGACAATTTATGGCTGAGATCCAAAGGCTCTTCAAGTTGTTTGCCTCACATAGTTGTTGAAAAAGCGACTGTATAGAACCTGCGGCAGCCACACAGATCTCCAGGTTATCATCAAGTCGTCTCCCCAAATGTTCAGCTCGAGCTTTCGATTGGGGCTGCGGCCTGTGTAGTAGAATCAGGGCCATGTTGTAGTGGAGATGCAGGTTGGCTGTCCAAGGATCTATGCCCCCAGATATTGTGTGCAGTTGGAGGTTGTGAGGAAGGCGCAGTGCCCAGCTTGCGAGCTTCTCGTCACTTCTTTGCACAGCCGATATGCTTGATTCAACGGTTGTTGCGCGCGACCGCGCCCTGACGGCTTCCGACACTATCACAGCGAGTTGAGACATTTGCATCATGTATTCTGGGCGCACATCGTCCCCGCAGTCCGAAAAGTCTGCCATTTTGAGCTTTTGGACCGTGCAGTCCTCGAGGTGTATTGACTGCGGCCGGCCATATTGGAGAGAGACCCAGACATCACTTTGAAACAGCAACCACCACACACGTCGCCACATGTGCTTATTGTGGGCAACAAGAGTGCTTCCATCTGCATCACGGTGCATGCCAAGGCCCATTGCTGTTCGTACTGCGGCACCCAGCCAGAACCACGCATTTGCGGTTACATCTTCAACACCATCCGTATGCCAGGTAAGAAGCAACGCAGCCTGCACGACCGTGTCACGGTTACGCTCGAATCCAGTATCGTAGAGGCTTTTGGCTCTCCTGAAAAACACCATCTTACAAGAGTTACGTGTCTCGTGATCGCTGTCATACAGCACATGGGCACCAACGACAAGGATAGCCTGGAGGAGAAGCAACGAGGGTGGGTTTGACGGATCCCGAGCCCGGTACTGCCGTATGAAAATACGCTCGTCAACAACGGGAAACCCTGGGTTAGCATGCCGAAAATAAGCAGTAAGCAATTGGTCGACCAGTGACTTGGGAGGCAGTTGGAAGGCGTCCAAGGGTACTCGATTGTGACTCGTCATATGCCGCCCGATTCGGTCGGTCGGGTAGTGACATACTCCCGATGCACGCACGCGGGCTCCGAATTGCTGATGGACAAGGAAGTTGATATTGGAAACCTCGCTTCCAATGTAAGTGAGGCGGGCTTTGCTGTCAATGGGCCGTTCCACAAGCTCCGGCTGGTCAATAAACTCTACCAGATGACGTTTGTAGAGATATTCCCCGTTCTCGGCGGCGTGGATGTCAACCCCTGCCACGCCGACCGATGCTGGAGTGGACAGGGACGTCCTTTGTGTCTCATCCACATTGCCGGGAGACGAGGGAGGGTTGGCTCTGTCGCTTTGTGGAGATTTGGCAGCTTCATCTGAACCTAAGGAAGGGGCCAATGTCTTCGGTGTTGTCGGTGGTTCGGCAGCATTTGCTGCAGCTTTGGTGGCCTTTGATACACGCTTGCGCTTTTGGTGCAGGCGGCAATCGCTTCTCTCCGTTGATCTACAGTTGGAGCAAGGCAGCCCAACGTCGTGAGCATCGCACTTGACCTTGCGCTGATGGCAGGCAGTGCATGCAGCCCTCTCTACAACGGGTCAGACTAATTCATTCCAAGGATCAAGACTGCATAACACTCACGGGCCGCTTGCATACGAGTTATTCTCTGCATCGCTCAGATAGTCGAGAACTCGGAAGGATTTGGAGCAACTCCATGTGATAGATCTCTCCGTGCCCAGCGCTGTTTGCAAAAGCGACGAGCATCAGCCCCAGTAGACCCCCAATACCACATGCCTATCATGCTGCCGTTGGGGCCCGCAGATAACAATTCGGCGCCATCATTATCGCCAATTGCGTGGTATAATCACGGAGCATCTGATTGGCCTTCTGGCGCCGTTTCTTATCTCCGCGGCCGTCCATCCCCAGGATGTTTATCATGTCCTGGCTTCACCCAAGCCCCGTTTTGTCACTAATGCTGAAAGCAATATGGGCTAGTACGACCATCTGGTTAATTTGTTTAGTGTACAGGATACACTCCAGCTTCGCCAGGACACCAGGGGAATCCCCTGAATGTGACGCATATATCATTAGCCCCAGGTGAAATGAAAGATAACTCAATCAGCTAAACAAACAACACTGGCGTGACAAAAATGGAATCACCTTTCGAATATGATCTCGTGATTACCAATGGCGTGTGCGTGACAGCCAGTGATATAGGGGCTTGGGATCTGGCGATCAAGGATGAGAAAATCGTTCTCCAAGCTCCCACAGGGTCTCTAGCTCAGGCCAGTGCCGGCCGTATCATCGATGCTGAGGGTGGATATGTGATGGTACGTCGATCAGCGCTGACAAGAGTCCTTCTAGGCAATCGTTGCTAATATGAGACAATCAGCCAGGTGGGATTGACTGCCACGCGCACCTCGAAGAACCAGCGATATTCATCAAGGGATCTAATGGCCGATCAGCAGACAGCTGGGAGACTGGAACCCGATCTGCCGTCGCAGGAGGAAACACATCTGTCATCGCCTTTGCACCACAGCAAAAGAGCCAACCATCGTTACTGGCCACTGTTGAGAGGACCCATGCCCTGGCAACAGGGAATTGCTACACGGACTATGGCTTTCACCTCCTCATAGCAGACCCAAATCCAGACGCTCTTCAAGAACTAAAAGCCCTTAAAGAAGAAGAAGGTATCTCTTCCATCAAGATATACATGACGTACACGGCACTTCAACTACGTGACGACCAGATCCTGAGTGTATTGCTTCACGCGCGCCAGCACGAGATTCTCACCATGGTTCATGCTGAGAATGGCGACGTTCTCAACTGGCTTACAGATCAGCTGGAGGCCCAGGGCAAGTTTGCCCCCAAGTATCACTCCAATTCACGCCCTCCCATCCTGGAGGCCGAGGCGACGAACCGCGCTATTGCCCTTTCATCCCTCCTCGCCAATACTCCCATCCTACTTGTGCATATCAGCGACCCCTCCGCTGCTAACAGGATCCGTGTGGCACAAAACGCTGGCCAGCCTATCCTTGCCGAAACATGTCCTCAATATCTATTCCTCACCCGAGATGACCTTGACAAACCCGGTTTTGAGGGTGCCAAATGTGTCTGCTCCCCGCCTCCTAGGACACGGGCTGACCAGAACGCCATCTGGAACGGCTTAGCAAATGACACATTTGCTGTGTTGAGCTCAGACCACTGCCCCTTCAAATTTGAGGACACCGTCGCTGGGAAGAAGTCCTGCATAACGGCAGAGCATCCCGTGGGCCGGTTTCGGTACATCCCCAACGGGCTCCCTGGAATAGAGACTCGGCTTCCTTTAGCTTTCTCGGCCAGGCGGCTCGCCCTTACCAAATTCGTGCAGGTGACGTCGACAAACGCGGCCAAGTTGTACGGCCTATATCCGCGGAAGGGTTCCATGATCCCTGGCGTTTCCGATGCGGATCTGGTCATCTGGTATCCTGAGGATCGCCTGGGCGAGGTTTCTATTACCAATGGCATGTTGCATCATGATGTGGACTATACTCCGTATGAGGGGCGAAAAGTTGGGAACTGGCCTAGATACACCATTCTTCGAGGTCAAGTGGTCTGGGACCGGGACGGAGGCGGTGTCATGGCTTCCAAGGGGGTGGGCCAGTTTGTGAAGAGGGGTTCATCTAGTCTGGGAAATATTTGGGAAACAGTCCGAAATCACGGGCCATTAGACTTGGAGAAGTTGTGATTCGGCATATTTGTTAAGAGTTGAAGGATTTCGGACAGTTTCCTACCATAAGACTATTAGTTATGGCCACAAGTACGGCACACTTTCACAGGAGAAATGATATACTAATAAATATCTGTTCCTATACCACAGCTCGTAATTCTAAAAGTTCTTCATGAAATTCTGTTGCTAATTCGATCAAATCCCGACTGGGTCATTTCTCAGAACCGGGGCGGGTCTTTTGGGTTGCCGCACGAAGCTGTCTCACATCGCCAAGGCAAGATGGCCGAGTGGTCTAAGGCGCTGTGTGTCAGTATTTACCGAATACCCTTCGCATCAAACATGTTTCTAACTTCCTACCAGTCAGGAGAATATTCTTCGCAGTTCGAAAGAGCGTGGGTTCGAATCCCACTCTTGTCAAGATATCTTTTTGCCAATTGTTCCTCTTTCTTAGCAACCGCCCAATTGAATTAGGGCTTGCTAGCGCACTAGACCAATAACTTGGTGGAGCTGTATTGGAACGCTTCCTGCGTTAAAGGGCAGTTGTTAATAAGATTGAACAGCTAATATCCCCGAGGCAGAAAGGGAATTAGTGCCATATTTCTTTTTGGGCGTTGGACCAGAGTGCTCCCTACTCCGCAATAATAGTACTTTCTTACAGCTACTACTCTTTAGACGATCAACCGGGCGATATCGACAGATAACAGGTCCGAGATCCAGGTGGTTAGCTGCACCTTCTTCACGACCAAGGCAAACCTCGGAATATAATGAAGGGGCTGAGAAGAGGGGCTTCGCGTTGCCTGGAGGCAGTGTAATACCAGGAACACAGTGGAGCAGGGACCCAACATGCAAGCACGTTAGACATCCCCAACCAGTAGCCAAAAATAAGAATAATAGACTGAACGACCGTAGTCGCGTACCAGGTATTAAACTGATAAGAACAAATACTACACTTGATTTGAGCCAAAGACTCGGAGAGCTAAGGAGAAAGGAAAAAAAGAATTAAAACAAAGGCAGCCTTCAGACATTTTATAGTAGTTTGATAAGCCGTAAGCTCCAATCGGATGCAGCCTGGGATGCTGCCTAGGATGATGCCTAGGGCTGACTCGACTCACCATCGAAATTGATACAATACAGGCAGCAGCGGCTGAACAGGCAGAAGGAGGGAAATGAATCTTACTGGAGGACAACCTGAAATGTTATCATGCTTGGGCTATTTCTAGAAAGTACTGTATAGTTGGAAGCAACAACTCCGGAAGCCTTCAAATTAATTTTTTTGGAAGAGCAATGAACCACACAATTACGCAACCCAAGGCAGAGACCAAGGCTGGGAGATATAGGATAATATTCTGTTGCATAGGTTAAAACCCACTTCGCAGTTCATTCGTCATTTCTTATGTATCCATTAAGGTCATTATTCAAGTAGTTTACTCCCAAGTTGATGCCAGATTTCGGAGAAGCCTATGCGCCGCCCGACAATCTCAGCGAACCCCGTAACCGTTCCACCTCATCAGCAGACATCTTGTACCGCTTGACGACATTGTCATCAGCATCGCCTGCCCGGCTGCTGCCTAGCTCCACCTCCGTTAGAGGGGAAGGTGTTGCGCCAACCGTGCCGCTTTGCCCTGGAGGCGAGGGCTGGGCTGGTGTAGGGCTGTGAGCAGGCTTCCGCATGTTGAGCACCAGAGCCGCGCGGGCGAGCTCCTTGCGAATCCACTGTAGCTGCCCCGGCCTCAGGGACTCGGCCACAAGCGAGCCGTACTCGTCGTTGCACATGCTCAGCATGAAACTCAGCGGCGTCAGAGCATGCCATGCACCCAGCGACTTGATATGCCCGAGATGATCCGCCAGGGAAAGCAATTCATCCTTGGGCCACTGTTCAAGAGCTGACGGGTCACATGTCCCCGGGTCGTGGTAACTTGGGAAATGCAGGTCGAGTGCTGCCAGATCTTGTATGCCTGCCGTCCTGGTGCGGTTACCCATGCAGAACGGGACGACCCGGCAAATGGCGTCGAACGTCTCCTGGATCGACCGCCTCGTAGTTTGTTCCAAGTCTTGTATATCTTGCGGCTCGCCGCACGCAACCTGCACAACTTGGGGGTTAATTCTGGGAAGCTGGCTCAGCAGTATGAGCGCCGCTTTGAAGAGTACGACGCGGTAGCTCCGCCAATTACTCCAGATAGAGGAGATTTGCACATCGGGATAGATATCGCAGTCACCCAGGTATGAGATTATCGGAGGGTTCGTCTCCCTAACCTTTGAAACATATATTGGATGCCACGCCTTGAAAACGGTCTTTCTCCAGTCCAGGAGTCTGATCTGGATGTTGTCCAGCTGCATCAGGATGAGCTCCAGATCCTGCTCCAACAAAGGCTCCAGGGCAAGCCGCTCAACAAAGGAGATGACGCGGTGCTGCACGTTTGCGACCGCAATTCCAATGAGATCGAGTGCGGCGCTGGGGTTCCCTGGGGTATTCGCGATTTCCGGAATCGACAGCACACTCGTGGGGAACGGCCGCTTTTCCCGGATGGCCGCGGCAATCTCGACGAACATGAGGTAGCGCACCATATGACGGCCATACGGTGTAGAGAGCAGCAGCGCCCCGTGCTGGTTCATCAACGCGACAGCTCCATCGTGGTGCGTCCGCTGGGCCTTCTGCATACTGAAGACAGCATTCAGATTCTCGTGGAATTGGAAGACCAGAGCGGCCAGCACGGTCGACTGGCTTCTGCTCTCATTCGGGTCAGCAATGGCGGTTCTCAGGCGTGCAAAAGCATGGGCCAGTGGTTTGTGCGGCTTGTTGAAGGATCTCGGGTCTTCTTGCCACATCCTCAGGACCTTGGTCGACAGGGCACAAAGGGCCAGCGACAAGGCCGAGTCTTGGGGCTCCTTTGCCAACGCCGGCGCGAGCAGCTCAAAGAAGCCGCGAGAGGACGCGAAGCTGCGGCCTTTTCCCGCAAAGTTGCCGAGAAAGAAGGCGAGCGCGCATTCGACAACCGGCGGGCTCGGGGTCTGGGAGATTGGCGGGCTGGAGTCGCTGCTCTCTTTGGCGGCGGCCTTGTCGATGATGTGGGCGCGGCGTCCAGGGCGAGTGTAGCTGAAGGTCTGCGGCTTGAACTTCAGAGTGGCGGGAGGCTTCTCGTAGCCGCCGCATTCTCTCCCCCTGCGAAAACATCTCTGGCAGCCCGGCTTGCCCTCATCGCATTTGACCCGCCTCTGTTTACAGGTCAGGCAGCCTTTTGAAGCTCCGTGATTCACCATGCTGATGGGAGAAGCCGGCCGGGTCACGTCGGCCGGGGCAAAGGCCAAGTGTCTCAACAGAGGTCGTGATGATCGACGACGATCGAGCAATCTTCATCGATCGCGTGAGCAACCAGGGCGGCAATGGGAGAGGCCCCTCTTGTCTTTATTAATATAAATAATAAATCACAATAAATCAAAATTAGAAATGCATAAAACGGTGAACCGGCTCCAGTTTGATCACAATCGGACTCGGGTCGGTACGGCAGCCGGCGCCTAAGCCTCTTCAGGGCCAAGGCTCAGGGTGAGACAGCGCTCTTAACTGACGTAACCGTGCCCACCAGCGGACAGGAACTTCAGGCTCTATTTTGCAGATCACAGCCACCCCGCGCCTCAGCCCCCTTTTCGCGAGTGCGCCTGATGTCAAGCCACGCCGAGCATGTCTTCTTGGGTCTTTTTTTATGCACCACATTGTTTCTTTTTACATGACTTCGCTGCGGCGCAAATCGCCAACGCCGCATTCAGATAATCACGTTACAACCCAAGGTCTACTGGCTCGAAGGCCTCCCTAGACCAGAGGGCCTTGATTTAGCCTTCTGCGTGGCGATAGATAAACATAGATCAAAAAATCCCGATGCTCTGCAATAAACCAGGCGCCAACTACCGGCAGGGCCTAGGACAGCTCTCAGAATGTTAGCTACGCTCAATTGCATCCACCTACCCTTGAGCCATCCATTGATGATGTTGCTATACATTGAATGCACCACGCTTTTCCAATTGTCCAGCAACTAAGTTCCCGGAATTCTACCTGTTTAATCTTTCCTGTCTCCTGTATTAGATTTGGAGCACAGGCTCAGCTACGTATTGCTATTTATTAAACGTTGACGAATGGGTTGGTCACTCCACATCCACATGTTTCAAAGTCATCATTGGGTGCAAAAGTTTCCTTTAACCCGCTGTCGTTCGCTTGACGATATTTCTCTCATATCTTATTGTCTCTGAGAGTTAATAAATATTCTTATTCACTGAATTATGGAAATCTACTTCTTCGTGATCAAGAAGAGGCGACCATCTCAGCGCCGAGTAAACTACCATACCAGCTGCAATTTCAACAACCAACCAGTAGCCAGCGACGATGATTGGCTGTTTGATGCCGAGGCCCGTAATGGTGACCGTATTTTACAGTGGGTCGGCTCTGGACATGAGCGAAGCCATCAATTGGGGACTATGAGCGGCCGAGTTCCTCGCTTTATTTACACATGGATCTGTCTTTAAATTTGAAATCTAATGGGATTCGAAAGAGCAATCTGCAAAGCCAAGATACCTGTTGTGCTGCAACGTGACTGCGGTGGTGGTGGAGAATGCGCCTGGAGTCGTTTGCATGCGGTGGGTACACAACCCCCTGGAAAGACTTAAAAATGCTGGCGAATGGATGAATGAAAAAGCACTCTGTTGGATATGTCGGACAGAGTGAGTGCACGCGTTCGCCTGATGACGACGTTCACCAATGGTATATCCTCGCCAAACCACGCCGTTTGACCGGACCATGGCTCCATCCCGCAGAAGCCATGAAATAAGAATAAGCTTAATCTAAGCCGGTCATTTGGGGTGGTCGCCGGCCCATGCTAAGACATTGATCCGATGGTCTGGATTTTCGGTGGAATTTCAAGAGTCAATCTGGTGGCACGTGTGGTAAACGTGCGGTAACAATTGGCCATAAAAGGTACCAGGGTCATGGATGGCCGGCGGTCACCGGGAAACATGGCGGTGGGCTCCGTGTTTCCTCCTCCCGGACGTCATGCTCGTTGCAGGCACCTTCATAATTTTTACACAACAGACTGCAGGATTTGATACGGCTGCCTTCCTTCCGGGGGATACTTAGCTACCTGTGCGAAGCTCGGGGAGAACAAGCACGAAAACCATCAGCTGACCCTGCAAAATGTGGATCTGCTAATCTGCAGATCCCACTGAGATTGAATTTTTTGGCTCGCTTTAGCCCTGGATCTTAGTCCTTCCCCACATGTGCGATAAGACAAACCACCGGAACCAGGCTCAGAGCCCAATTCGGTGTGCCTGTTCCATTTGCGTAAAACCAGCAAGATGTGGTTTGATTACCAGGATTTGACCATTTATTTTCGCTAGAAAGTGCATGACGGTGCAATGGAGTAGGCCTGGCCGGTATCTGTCACCGGTGCTAAAAGATTGGTAATACCCAAGTTACTGTACTGCCTTATCGTTACAGGTGTGCAGGACGTCCCACACCGGAGGCTTGGCGGGTCTTGGCGAGCATCATCAATCGCCGCCTCGTACAAAAGTTTTCGTGCCCCCCCGCATCACTTCCTTCCATCCAGTTCCTTACAAAATCCAAGACGCAGCCTGCTAGCCTGAGCTTCAATCCGTCTTCCTTGGTCCCTTTTCTGTCCCATTGCACGCCGTTGCTTGCGTTGTTGTGCGAGATAATTCCCCCGCCCACGCGTTATTTCAATTTCGGTACACTGCAATTGCCTCGGAAAAGTAAATTCCACCAGAAATCCTCTTACCTGGAACTCTGGCAGGAGGAAGCCACCCACCATGGCCAAAAAGCAGCCCAACACGCCCGGCGAGGCGCATGTCAGCGGCCAATCCAACCGCCCAATGTCCCTCCCTGCACATAGCCTTACGCTCGAACAAGTGGCCACAGAGCTCAAGGCTGATGCTGTCTCTGGATTGTCGCCCGCCGAGGCCAAGTCTCGTCATGCGGAATTTGGGAACAATGATTTGGGAGAAGGCGAGAGCGTCTCTCCCGTACAGATCATCATCGCCCAAATTGCCAACGCGATGACGTTGGTGCTGATTCTGGCCATGGCAGTCAGTTTCGGAATTCGATCTTGGATCGAAGGTGGCGTAGTTGCAGCTGTCATCCTCCTCAACATCATCGTCGGCTTTTTCCAGGAGTACTCAGCCGAGAAGACCATGGACTCCCTTCGATCTCTTAGCTCCCCGACTGCTCGTGTCGTTCGCGCTGGCGATATGACCACTGTCCCCTCTGCCGAGGTGGTCCCCGGTGACCTCATCGAGCTCAAAACGGGTGACACAGTTCCTGCAGATATCCGCCTTTTTGACGCAGTCAATTTTGAGACAGATGAGGCTCTCTTGACCGGAGAGTCGCTGCCTGTTCGCAAGAATGAGGACGCCGTTTTCGACGAAAAAACCGGCCCTGGCGACCGTCTCAATGTTGCCTATAGCTCATCGACTGTTACCAAGGGCCGCGCCAAGGGAATCGTATTCGCGACAGCGGTCTACACCGAGATTGGCGCCATCGCCTCCGAGCTGCGCAAGAAGGATTCCAAGGTTCGGCCCGTGAAGCGGAAGCCAGATGGCTCCGCGAAGCCGCACAGGTACCTCGAGGCATACACCTTGACCCTGACTGATGCTATCGGCCGCTTCCTAGGCGTGAGTGTAGGCACACCCCTGCAAAAGAAACTCTCCAAGCTCGCCTTGCTGCTCTTCGGAATCGCTATTGTCTGCGCCATTATCTGCCTGGGCGCCAACAAGTTCGACTCGAGGCAAGAGGTGGTCATCTATGCTGTCGCTACAGGCCTCTCCATGATTCCTGCAAGCTTGGTGGTGGTTCTGACCATCACAATGGCCGCTGGGACGAAGCGCATGGTCAAGAGAAATGTCATCGTTCGTAATCTCAAGTCGCTCGAGGCTCTCGGCGCTGTCACCGACATCTGTTCTGACAAGACTGGTACCCTCACCCAGGGCAAGATGGTAGCTCGTGGTGCCTGGATTCCTGGAAAAGGTACATACACGGTTGAGAACTCGACTTCGCCCATGGACCCGACAGCGGGAGATGTCCGCTTTCACCCTGACGCTCCAAGCCGGATCGATTTCAAGAAGGGCGGGGATGCCTGTGGTACCATTGCTCAGCCTGATGACCTCATGAGCCAGAGTGCCCAGGACCTCACTGCTTTTCTTCAGGTTGCTTCGCTTGCTAACCTCGCAACCGTTTCTAAGAAGGATGACCATTGGGAAGCAAGAGGCGACCCGACCGAAATTGCCATTCAGGTGTTTGCATCTCGCTTTGGCTGGAATCGCCAGACGCTCACCCATGGCGAGAACGTACAGTGGTCTGATGTCGCAGAGCTGCCTTTTGATTCTGACGTGAAGCGCATGTCTGTCGTCGTCAAAAACCACAGGAGTGGCGAGCTTTTTGCTTTCACCAAGGGGGCCGTTGAGAGAGTCATTCAAGCATGCGCCAAGTATTCGCCGCACGATTCCGCCGACCTTGTCGATATTGACGAACACTTTCGTGAGGAGATCTTGCGCAACATGGAGAAATTTGCCAGCCTTGGTCTCCGCGTCCTCGCCTTAGCAAGCAAGGTGTACACCTACCCCTTGAAAAAAGGCGACGATATCGACCGATCCACTGTTGAGAAGGACTTAGTTTTCCGTGGCCTCATTGGACTTTATGACCCTCCTCGCCCCGAGTCGGCGCCCGCCGTTCGCTCCTGCCACGAGGCTGGCATCTCTGTCCACATGCTTACCGGCGATCACCCCGAAACAGCCAAGGCGATTGCTATCGAAGTCGGTATCCTACCTCACCGGATGGAAGCTGTCGCCAGTGACATCGCCGCGGCCATGGTAATGACAGCTACGTCATTTGATAGCCTAACAGACGATCAGGTCGACGAGCTGCCGGTCCTTCCTCTTGTTATTGCCAGGTGTGCCCCGTCAACCAAGGTCAGAATGATCGAGGCCCTTCATCGTAGAAAGCGGTTTTGTGCCATGGTGAGCTCCCCATCTTACAATGTGTTTCCGGTCACCGCTAACCCCCATTAGACTGGCGATGGTGTAAATGACTCTCCATCTCTAAGACGCTCTGATGTTGGCATCGCAATGGGCCAATCTGGATCTGATGTAGCCAAGGTAACATTTAATCCCCGTCTCCAGCTTTGCGAGTAGGTAACTAATGGTCTTGCAGGATGCTTCTGATATTGTTCTTACAGACGATAACTTCGCTTCTATTGTTGCCGCCATTGAAGAAGGTCGCCGAATCTTTGACAATATCCAAAAGTTCATCCTCCACGTTCTGGCTGAAAACGTTGCTCAAGCATGCACACTACTCGTCGGTCTCGCTTTCAAGGATGGCCGTGGTCTCTCTGTCTTCCCTCTCGCGCCTGTCCAGATTATTTGGATCATCATGGCTACCTCTGGTATGCCTGATATGGGCTTGGGATTTGAACGCGCAGTGCCCGACATCATGCGTCGCCCGCCACAGTCCCTCAAAACTGGTGTCTTTACTGCCGAGTTTTTGATTGATATGATCGTATATGGCCTGTGGATCACGGCGCTTTGTCTTGGTGCCTTTACCATTCGTGTTTACGGGTTCGGTGATGGCAATCTCGGTGAAAATTGCAACCAGGACTACAATCCCTCCTGCAACACCGTATATCGTGCCAGATCAACAACCTTTGCCTGTTTGACATGGTTTGCTCTGTTTCTCGCTTGGGAAATGGTCGACATGCGTCGATCCTTCTTCCGAATGCAGCCAGGCTCTAAGAAATACTTCACGCAGTGGATGATTGATGTTTGGCGTAACCAGTTCTTGTTCTGGGCCATCATGATCGGCTTCTTTACCCTCTTCCCACTAATCTATATCCCCAAGCTCAACACCATCGTTTTCAAGCACTCAGAAATCAGCTGGGAATGGGGCATCGTCTTCATAGCAGCTGGGATCTTCTTTGCAGGCGTCGAAGCCTGGAAATGGGGTAAGCGCATCTACTTCCGTCGCCAAAGCCGCAAGGCCCACGGTGCATCCTGGAAGGATATGGATATCGAACAACGTGTTTTTGGCGACTACCTGGGCTCTGATGCAGTTCAGAGCTCGTCTAAAGAAAAATAGGCTCCTCCGGGAGTGCCGTTTGCCTCGAACAGGACGGATTTGTGCCAAGCAAGTACCCCGGGCCCTCGAGACAATCGATTTCCCGCTGATCTAATTCTAGGGCGACCGAGAGTCGCCACCCTCCCCCTCGACAAAGCCATCATCACCAAGCAGGTGCGGGTGGTTTTGAAATCGCTTTGGGAAGCATTTCCCCGCCAAGCAAGTAACCCGGCCCGAGTGATGAAAGTGTTACCCGCTGATCCAATTCTAGAGCGACCGAGAGTCGCAAATCCCCCCGACCCCTTTCGCCAGTGGGACAACTCCTTCTGCCAAGCAAGTAACCCGCAACAAATGAAAGCTTTACCCGCTGATCCAGTTCTAGGGCAACCGACACCCCCCCTGGATCTTGTCTCCAGGACATTCGCGAGAGACAATCCTTTGCCAAGCAAGTAACCCGGGTTGACATGTTAAAGTAGTCCCGCTGATCCAGTTATAGGACAACCGCGAGATCGTCCTATTTGGACGATTCCTCCGCGCCCCCAACCTGGCATGTGTGAAGTTGATGTTCTAATTCCGCTTTGGATTTTTAACGCGACTTCATCGCCAATTGACCATGAAAAGAATTGAGGTATAACAGGTAAACTTTATCACTGACAAAGTAGAGTGAATTGGGCAATGCACTGGCCACATTAGATGAATTGAGATATAGCGAATATGTTTTGAGAAGAGGCTTCTTTGTCGCTTCTTTATTGACAGAACGCAGATCATTTCTAGATAGAGGAATAGGAATACATCATATCCTGAACTATGTCTTCTCCTTGGTGGCAGTGACTGGGTTGCAAGTGAAAAAAGGGCTGTTGAGAGAAAGAACGCTGGTTGCTATGATGTTGTGACTTATGTATGCAGGTCTGTGACGTGGTTGAACGTGGTTGAGTTGTTTTGAAGTGGATTTCGGTTCTTCATAAGCGTCGTTACCCGAAATGTTGTCTGCGTATCAAATTGTTAAACAATCACAGAACAAAGAGATGGGTACATGCGAACAGCGCAGAGCTGAGGGATATGAGTGAGCCGTGGTCTCAAGCCGTCAGTGAACAAAATATCCGATATCCATGAACCTTGTTCTAATACAAACTTCAATTGTTGGAGAAAGGCATAGCGTATTAAAGCGTGAGTTGGCTGATCGATTGCTTCCATAACATCACTGAGAAAAGTATATATATCTCAGTCAATCCGGGCTGCTCTCCTTTCTACCTCACACCATTTCGACTCACACCATTTCGAATCGTTTCTTCCACCATCATTTCCCGACGCATCCTTTGCATTTTTTTCAAAATGACCTTCTCCGATTGGTTAAAATCACGCCGCCAGGGTGACACAGAGCCCGTCCCTGCTGTAGACTCTGGCTCTGAAACTTATCCGGAGTCCGATACATCTTCAGATGATGACGGAAACTCGGAGTCGGCGTTGGCAGAGAAAGTGCGAGAGAAGCTTGGTGCCGTGATTCCGAACACTGTCTTTGTTGCAGAGAGAGTGAACAAGTCTGAAGCACGTCGCCTCTATGAGGAAGTACAGCAGAAAGACTCTTACAAAAATTGGCTCAACTCATCAAGGTCAGAGAAGTTGTTGGTTTACTACCAACCCGAGATAACTGACCACCTCAACGGTGTTTCGCCGCTTTCTGATCTCTGCATGCGTGCGAGATACGATTTCCTCAACCAAGGGGAGAGACCCCGCGAAGGGGAGAATCAACATGGCAAAAACATTGTTCTTTTGTGGTTTTCTAGTCAGCACTCTGGCAAGCACCAAGATGTGCACAGGAGTCGCGGTAAAAGAGCAAGGGCGATGCTGGGGTCTTTGACAAGCCAGCTTATTACAGAGTGCCGACACAGGGATATTCCTATGAAAGGCCTGGAGAAGTACAATGATCGCGCTGTCACCCGGCACATGAAGAACCGGTTGGAGCTTTTCAAGATGTTGGTGCGACAGATACCATCCGATTACAAACTCGCATGCATTATTGATGACGTCTGCTACTTTGATCAGCCTGAGCTTTGGGACGGCGCATGCCAAGTCTTTGAGTGCTTGCTTTCGCTGGACAAGGACAAGAAGGTGAAAGCCAAGGTCAACATGCTCTTCACCAGTACGGCGAAACCAAAGCTTGTGTATGATTACTTCCAAAAGCCGGATCGTACTATTGTGTACGATGACATCTAAGGGGGACTTTGACAGTGAGGGCCGGCCGATATATGGAGGTTTTTTCTTATGTGAGATACAAACTAGGTAGTTGACCACAATTGCTACGGCAGACCAAGCCTACCATTTGACAAGACACAATGGATATGCGACGATCATTTTCTCTCGATTGCTATGGATTTCTATTAGAAAGAAAGATATGTGAATGATTTGTGAATTCATTATGTTGAGTTATCGGGCTCTGGCAGCTTCCATTGCTGTTAAACTTTATTTTCTTTCTCTTACATGAATGATTTGTGAATGCTAATCATGGCTACTTAATTTTGCTCAACCCCTGTTCCCACAATTGCTACTTAAATACGTAGTCAACTACCGAGCCGACAAATGCCTTTCCCTTGTCGACCTTTTTGATTGCTAGCGACAGAGCCTTGATAGTCTCCGTCTCTGCGTCCATAGTTATCCCGGTTGATCCCTCCACGGAGCCCAAGTCACTGAACCCCCGTCCGCTGAAGAATATATATGCCTTGCTCCCCCCGATCGCGTTAAGCACGCCGCCCTCCTTCTTCACCCTGGATACCTGGGAATTTATGAGATCTTTCGCGTAGCCCCTTCCTTGGTGGTTCGGGTGTGTGACAAACAGCAGCAGCCACTTGCTGTGTGGGAATCGCGGCGAGAACTTGTCCTGGGCACTGCGGAGTATCTGGATATACTTGAGGAGGCGATGGTCCCGTATATATGTCTTATGCTCGCGCTCTGTGCATTCCTCATATGATTACTCCTTGCAAAGAAAACATGTTTTCAGGGAAATTGAAATATTGGAATTGTGGCTATACTCACTTGCGACATCTGGTCCCTGGGCACCTTTCACGTCCCAGATGGCAGCAGACACAATCTTTGGTTCGCTTTCTCCGAGATCGACTACCTCGACAATCCAATCCTCCATGGAAGGGTATAGGTGTTCCTCAAGGAGGGACTCGATCTCGGTGATGTAGGACTCATCTTGTATACTTTTTGATGCGGAGAATTTCAACCAGAGACGATCTTTTTGGATCGAGTCTTGGATAAGCTTGGCGATGGCCGGGATATCATCCTGGGTTGCGATGCGTGTTTTGCCCATGTTTGGTATACGTGATTTGGGAATGCTAGGATTAATCCTTGTCTATCCTTGGGAGTGAAGTGGGCGTGTATGCTTGTCTGCCCTAGAGTGTGTGTACGCGTCCAGATATTCAGGAAGGGCTACGGGAATGGATGATGGGGAATGCAATATCTGAGTTATATATCTACAAAAAAATGATAGAGAAGAGGCCAAGGGAGGCAGCCCATCCACGTGATTCAGGTCAACCGACATATTCATTACACAGAATCACAGAAGCGAGTGGCGGTGTTGTGGAAGGGAAGGGAAAGAAATGAAAATGCCAAGGGCGGTGATGGCAGATCCGGAACCACCCCAGTAGGCCTCCAACGCGGAACATGCAACGAGTTGCGGGGGTCTGCCCTAATGCCGCAGCAGAAATGATCGCTGACTGTTGTCAATGACGGCAGATCCCTGCGGTTTCATGCGGATATCCGGCACACTCCTCTGAATTCCCTCTTGCCCAGCAAAGCGAAGCCACAACCGCCGATTCTCTAGCGCATCCACCACCACTTCAGTGAATCACTGCTGTTAGATTTCCATAATGTCTCATTAGCTAAACCACTACGCCACGTCTTGGATTCATAAGTCGATGTACCTGTTTCCGTACTTCGATAGCACATCAGTAAAACCGATGACTTCCGTCTACAGAGCCAAAGCATCCAGTGGTGCTCCGGATCGGCCACTAAATAACCAGGCAGATCGCCTCAGCCACCAGAGAAACAACATTATAGATCAGAGATACAGATTAATATCTAGCTGTGGCTTACTAGAGCAAGTGAACATTAGGGTGCTTATTTTCGAGTCTGCGACCGGTATTTTAGATTATTAGGTGCCAATAATAGATACTCAAGAAACAGTACAGTCTATATTGTTGCTTTATTTCAGTTTATACTTCTGAACCTTTCTATTCATCGTAGAAAGTAGTCTGCTCATAACCACTCTTCTACCCCCTGTCACACACTTGCAGGGCTACGAGATAAGCTTATGGTGTCTCGCGTTTCCGCTAGACCCAGAGATCTTTTCCACCGACTTCAGCGAAAGTGGTGATGATTTTGTGTCAAGTCCCCTAGATAAAAATCCTTGGGATGACAAGGACTGCTTTGAGTATCTACCTACTCAGCCTACCTGGAATCTACATGATTTTACCTGGAATTCAGATGAGACTACCTCGGATTCAGATGAGTCCTTCACGCTGCTTTCTCTCATTACTACAGAATCCATCTCAGATCACTCGACCTGGGGCCTTGCCACCCAAGAGCTGATTAATGGGTACACATGGTGTGCCATTACTATGGACGCGCGGATGGATCACGGTTCAGCCGCAGTCGTATACTGAAATAGCAGCTGAGGGATGGGAAAGGACAGGTGGATGAGAAGATCTCCCACCCAGGACCTTCAACAGGTCAATTTGTTCGGAGTTTAATGGGGTGTTATGAGAGGGATGAGGTAAATCTACCAGGCTCGTGGTTTGAATACCGCGAGCACTTCACTGAGGCTGCGTTATGTATTCGCCGCAGTGCTTCTGAGCTGATGGACGCAAACAAGGAATCATTTAACCTCAAACCTCCTCTCGAACTCTTGGGGGATTATCCTAAGATAGCAAGATAGTAGAATGGACCTTGCATGCACCAACTGGTAGCAATTCTCCAACGGGAGGACTATCACCATAACCATCTTCGATTGACCATTCATTAATCGTCAATTTTTGATCGCACCTGACCATAGATTAGGTTGAAGCTGCTTATTACGAAACCTGCACTTGTATGGCTGATTGCATGATGTAAAGAGCTTGTTCTCTTATTCTCTGGCCTAGCTAGATCTTCCCTTTTAAGGGTGGCATTAAACTAAGCGTCACAATATTATCTTAATTTTAAAAAGTAAGAGGTTAATATAGTAACTATTCCTTATATCTAAGGCTAGATTATTATAGAAATCTACTCTTATCTAGGGGAATAACTAAAGTAGCCTAATAAAGAAAGGAAAGGAGGTAGAAGGGATGAGGGCTTATAAATGGTATGCTTCCTAGCCTTTCAAAATGTAATAAAAATGAACCTAGTGAGAGTTTCGCTGTGAAATAAAAACTCAAAATCGTTAATGCATAGGTAGTAGATATATGTTAGCCCCTGAAATAAACACAAGTTTCGCTCTATACAGTATATTGCTCACCTTGTCCTCTAACACGTCTGCAATGAGGCTATCGATCTATGAGATGGACAGATTTCCCATCTAGCGCAGAATCACCCAGAGAAGTTTTAATGGGTTAGCTTGGAAACACTGCAACTTGACACGTTTAATTGCCAACTCAAACTGCCCCTTGTATATCCCTTGAATTACATGTCAAAATTTAAGGCTTTCCGCAGCTTCCGTCGGTCATTTAAAGCCGCTTCGCCCTAGGTCTAGGTCCTTTCTTCTGGTATACAGGACTTAACTTCCAACCTCATGTATTCATAGAGCCAGAAATTGCCTCTTTGATATCTGTCCGTAAGAAAATACGCAACTCCTGTGATCAAAACTGTTGAACCCTATCTTAATGTTGTTTGCCAAAGTAGAACGTTTGTCCTTCCTCCCCTTCCTTTACACCCATGCTGGAGATCTCAAGCTTGGGGTGATTTGCCATCCTCATCCCTTCAAACTCGATCGTAGCGACTAGTCTTGTTACAAGAGCAGCACCCACGAATGATTCAATGACAGGAAGCACATCGGCCAATGTGATAAAAAACACGCTGCCCAGCAATACTGTCCCAACCATGATATGGAGGCATGCGACCAAGTTTGTAACAAATTCCAGGCAGCCCTTCCCAAGCCGCCTATCTGAATTTTCTTCTTCAAACTTAATTGGTCGACCGTAGCAGCAGGGTGTCAGTTCGTCCATGATCCACTGCTTTAGAGATCGTCTTGGCCCTGCTACGGGATATGTGTAGGCGAAAGTAAGGACGCCCAGATAGTGAATTGGGAGGAGCAAACCCATCCATCCCAGCACTACAGCCGTCTCAGATAATCCTGGCATGAATACTGCGATGGGTGCAAGGGCAATGGCCTTGTAGCACAGGCGATATATCTGGTAAATACAGTTGGCCGTTGATCCCATCCCAAGGACATACTCCAGCAGCGAGATCACAAAGCGAAAAGCTCTGAGAGATTCAAGCTGTTTAATAGGCCTTGAAGCGCCGAGCTTTCTGACCTTTCTCCCATTAATGGTGCCAGTAATTGGATTTGGCGAGGGCACGCCAATCTCAAGCATCAGAGCCAGGAAAGGCCTGCGCATAGCAAGACAGCCGGTCTCAGTCAACCCTGGACGGATCTGTGCCAGCCCAACGGGGAGAACAGTCAGAAGTGTTGCAGACAGGGCGAATTCCGCTTTCTGGGCCTCGCTGGTGACTCCTAGAATGCAGTCAACCAATTCCCAAGCCCAGCGGTGCTGCCCAGGAATCTCTGGTGCCGAAGTGTAGTTCTGATGAGCTAGCTCGCATTTTTCACTGTTGCCCTCTCCATAGTACCAGCCGTTGAATGTTGTGAAGAATTCCGTGAACTGGTTGCGGGAGTCTCTTGCCTCAACCAAGGCTACTCCGATGCAGAGTAAAAGGGCAACCCGAGCCACTGGGTCTATTGACCAGGCCATTCTTGTCTTTGTACGAGGCTAGAAAAATAGGGGAATATGTCTTCCAAAAGTGCCAAAAAGCACGAAAAGGATTCAGACGCTCGCAAGTCAGAAGACTCACAAGTGAAGAATATATTCGAACCTTGACTGTTAATTGTGTTGTCCTGCTGAGTTGTCCATTGAATTCGAGTTGGGCCGCATCTTTATAGGGAAAGCTTGTAGCATAATATACCGGTCAATCTAGTCAGTTGCATCAAGCCTTCCCGATCTATGCCTGCTGACTGCATGGTTCGCCTGCCTTGCCAGTTGCCTTACCCCTCCCGTCACAGCGGCACTGCGTGATAAACTTTACCGAGCTGACGAAATGTTTCCAAAACATCCCGTATTCTCAGAATCATACTGCATTGGGCTGAGTTGGACATGGGGCTGGCATTTTTCAAAGGATTATCCCCACCACGCACCGAGTTCCCGGCTTTCAGCTTTCCGCCATCTGGCTAAATTTTTGACAGGTGTCAAATTAAGGTGTAAGGTCATCAGAAGCTTATGAAATCATGTGGCTTGATTTCATATAAGTTAAGTCGACATTGATCCTTGATCAACAAATGTATAAGCCAACTTTTCTGTCTTTTCATTAGAATACAAATCACTTAGTGCAACAGAGTCAAGATATCAGCAAGAAGATTATAGGAAGAGGGGAACGTGCTGTAGACTGTATTCTCAGGCAGCAAGACAAACATCTGAAGGTGTATCGAGCTTCATCGTGGTAGGCTGTCAGCAGCTGGGGTTCAATCTCAAACATGCAAGCCCACACACACCCGCAGTCTCCAGCTGAGAGTCGGTCATTGTAGAGCGGCAACATTCTCGGAGAAGACACGGTCCAGATAGTGCGGTAAATCCTCGATTTTACTACCCTTTTCATCTTCGCGGGAAGTGCACGTGCGGAAGGAGACTCCAAGCTCCTTGCTTCCTGGGCATTTTCCTACGGGTTCTTTGAAATGACACCTCCCCTTCGACCGATCTCATTATTAAAGCACGAGACAGGCCTTTTTGACGCCTTATTCCCGGGGAATAGTCCTCGATCTTTGTAGGAGACAGCTTGATGGCAAGAAAGCATGCTTGAGAAGAGCTGTAGGTGTGATGCGGCTGACCATAGCGGCTGAATGTTCTAATTTTGTTTCAGGATTTATCATGTGCACTCAGTACTGTAGGCTATAACCAGCGTATCATGCGCTATTTTTCAAATTAATCACTCATTGGATCGGCTGTGCCATGGTGAGATCTGTCGGCGTGACCAAGGCATACCCCCCTGACTTGGGTTTCACAGACGTGATAACGATTGCAACAGTACTACTCTACGCAGTTCACGATGCCCCTCCTCTGCAAAATAACCCTTCTTCAGGAAAATGAGAAAAGACGACTTGGACTATCATCTTGAAAATTTGCTCTATCGTCAATTTGTGCGAGCCCATTGCCTTAATGGGCAACTGGGGCAGGCTCTAAAGCGCCTGGAAGCATTTCAACTCTGGCTGTAATATTGACATCTAGAAACATCGCTCATTACTGGACGCCTAACCCATTTGCGCCGTGTGTAGTGTGCTTTCCTTATCTCTGATAATTCTCGACTTTATTTTCAGCTTCTCTGGCGGTGATTTGTCGTTGAAGTGCTCTGTACATGAGTTATGTGAAGGAGTAAAGGCTAGTTGGAGCCTGACTATGCTATGCTCTTTGCTTCTTACTATATTAGACCATGAACTTAATTACTATCGTATTTTTCACGGATCTAAATATAACCGATACAAAAGGAGACCCAATGGCGTTGGGTATTGCATTTAGGACCTTCGTTGTGCGCCATTTTTGAGAACTACAATAGCCTGCTGCCCTGCCATGGCAAAGTAGGGGCTGAGCAAGGCTTACAACGTACTTGCAATATAATAAAATGGGAATAGCCCACTAAACCGGTAAATGGCATACATGGTGACTAATGTTAAATCTCTGAAATAGATGAACAGCAGCTGAGGGTTTTCTATGTAGAGATATTTACTTATACGCGTTTAGTCTTAGATCTCAAGTACTCCCACCCCCTTGGCGGTAGCTCTCTCTATGCGTCTCGCAATTTTTTGAAACGAGATTCTCGATTGAGCAAAGCCTCGGGAGTATCAAATTCCACCAGCTCGCCTGCCTCTAAAACAGCAACACGGTCGTTATTGAGGATTGTTGACAGTCGATGAGCAACTGTGATTACGGTAAAATCTCTGAACTCTTCGTCTATCACCTTCTTGATCAAATTTTCAGTATTGATGTCGATGCTTGTTCTTGATTAGCCTGGACTCATATCATAAATGTGACTGTGGCGTCCTGTTGGTTTACTCACTTGCTTGTAGCTTCATCTAGTACGATGACCTTGCTGCGTTTCAGAATAGATCGAGCAAGACAGAAAAGCTGCTTTTCGCCTTGGGAAAACAACCCATCTTCCATCTCAGCGTCAAGCCCTCCCTTAGTCCTGATAGCCTTGTCCATGCGGACTGAAGTAAGAGCTCGCATAATTTCCTCATCAGAACTGGTGCCACGATGGTCCGCAGTGAATCTGACAGTTCCCGGCATGAAGTAAGGCTCATGTGGGATCCCATTGAGACCGCTCCGTACTGTGCTGGGCTCAATGGATGCAACATCGAGACCGTCAACCGAGATGGAACCCTTCTCGACATCAATCATCCGGAAGAGGGCGAGAGTGAAGGATGTTTTGCCACTACCTGTGCGGCCGCAGATGCCAATCTTCTCACCGGGCTTGATACTCATTGTGATGTTTTTCAAAGCCGTGACTGTGCCATCTTTATACGTCGCGGTCAAGTTTTGAATCTCAACAGCACCTCGACTTGGCCATTCCGGGGGCGCAGTCGTCTGGCTGTACCCGCGAGTCTCCCAGGGGACGTCGCGCTCAAAGTCTCGAATTCGCTGGATAGAAGTCATCGATGTCTCCATCTGCGTCCACGTCTCAACAACAGTGCTCATGGAACCGCTGAGACCGATCAGGTTAGCCAAGGCGACGCCTGCAAATCCTGGGCTGATTTGATCTCGCATGGTGATCATTACAGCGCCGAGGAGGATGACAAATGCTGCTGTCAGGCAATCCAACGAAACTGAAAGCCATCGTTGAAGGACGAGGAGGAGATAGAATGGTCTCTGGGAACGATCGAGATTACGATACAGAAGCTCTTTGAAAGGTCCTTGCCATCCAAAAGCGCGAATAGAAGCCAGCCCATCCAACGATTCGACAAATTGCGAATACAGGGGAGACTTGGTCTCAAGATCGAGGTGCCTCAATTGCCGTGAGGTGCTCATGTATACACTCTGAAGCACTCCCAGAGCCAAGATGATCAAAGGGAAGGAGAGTGCTAACCAATGCGAGGTGTTCATAATGAGCAGCATTCGGCCGATGAGAATGAGTCCGCTGCATGCAATGTTCAGTCCAGCTAGAGGGAGTTCATTATCCACCATCTGCAAGTCTTGACTGAACCGGTTGAGTGTGATACCTGTGTCGGTCTTTTCAAAGAAAGATAGTGGTGCATGAAGCGCCGTCGAAATGAGTTTCTGGTGTAGGCTGAGCCCCGACGTATTCACGATTGTGATGACTGCGTGTCTTGCGAAGATGACAAGAGAGATCAGACACGAGATCTGTAGCAGACCGTAGCCCCCCATGTAGAACCCTGTGTAGTGCCAAGGGTCTCGAGAATTGGCATCAGTCCACCATTTGGCCCATAGGTAGGGAAAGGTGAAAAGGAAGGCATAGATAGTAGCAAGGACGAGATAGAGGAGCGACATTCCATACCCTATCGATTTAAAGTAATATCGGTAGACACCTCGAGGCTTTTGCGATTTATCTTGTTCATCAGGCTCTGGCGTCTTTGTCTTGCTATTGTTTTCGGTTACTATGTTGCTCGCCTTGGGATTGATATACCCGAGCAAGTTCTGGTTATTTTTTATCCCTAGGCTGCTGACGTATCCGTCAATTGCACTGAGCTCTGTGAATGACCCTTGCTGAATAATATTTCCTTTGGATCCAATGTAGATAATATGATCAGCATATGGAAGAAAGTGAACTGTGAGCTATTAGCTTAATCTCCCTCTTGCGTCTCGATGTCCCAGGAGCTTCAAAGTTCCCTACCCGAGTGTGTTGCAAGAATAGTAGTGCATTTATTTCGCCTGAGAAGACCTGTTGGCCCAAAGACAGCAGCAAAGACGTGTGATTCAGTGGTGCTGTCGAGTCCGATAAGAATATCATCAAATAGATTGATATTGCGCCGAGCGAAGAGGGTGCGTGCAAGGGACTGAAATACTGTTAGTCAAACCCAAGTAGGAAAATAAATTGTTGAAGGCCGGGATTCCACTTACTACTCGTTGCTTCTGGCCGCCACTCAAGGCAATCCCTTTACTGCCGACTTTGGACTGATCGCCATGCGAAAGCTGCTTCAAGTCATCGAGCAAAGCGCAAGCCTCCAACACGGTGTCATAGTGCTCGTTGTCGTTGCCCGAAAACATGGTGATATTCTCTTCAACAGTGCCATTCACGATCCACGGGTTTTGGTCACAAAATCCGAGACTATTGGGTGGAAGCATAATGGCACCATTAGCATATGTAACTTCTCCGAGCAGGCCTTTCAAGAGGGTGGATTTTCCGCATCCCACAGGCCCAATGATCTGCCACAATCCAATCCGTTGTTAGCAACATGTGTCAAAGCATATGGAGTATTGAAGGAAAGAACTGACCATGGTGAGCTTTCCACGAGGGAATGTTACATTTATATCCTCGAGAACTGAAGCCGAGTCAACACTCCAACCAAAACTTCCATTCCAGATTTTGACATCGCCATCCGCATCTTCCCCAGTTGCTCTCTGTAGGGAATCGCGAATATCGGGACCTTCTTGGCTTTCGATGAACCGTCCAATGCGATCGAAGCAGGCAATCATAGACGATATCATGGGACCTGATTGGAAGAGCACGCTCAATGGCTGAGACATTATTGTCAAAGTTGACAATGACACAAACATTCTCGAGGCATCTAAAGGCTGTGAGGTTTTATCGGCCGCAAAAATGAAGACGGCAAGAGTAAGAACAGGGCTGATCATAACAGGGAAAAATCCCATGACCAGTGCACCGACCTGCCACCATCGAAACTTGGAAGCTGCCTCTAGCTCTGCACCTCTCAAGCTCTGTATGACATCTATCAATGTGTTTGTAAAGCCAGAAACCTTAATGCCTCTCATAGACGACAGTGTTCGGCTGGTAACATCAACACGCTTCTCGATACGCTTTAGCCAATTAGCCTGTTGCCCACCCGCGGCAGCACTGATCTTCAAGGTCCCGTAGCCACACGAGGCAGCAACTAGCAACGGTAGGATGATGGCAACGCCAGTCTGTCTTTCCAGCAACCATGCAGCAAAGGTGACTTGGATTACATTAGCCCAGAGGTCATGTATATTCTTGAGCCCGATTGTGATTCGCTCAATATCGGCGCTCATGACCGTCACGGCCGACGATTTATCGATGGTAGAGGAACTCAAACTCATGGTGCGGTCATAGACTAGGGCCACCAGACCTCCGCGGACGCAGGTGATGAACTTGAACGTTTGATGAAAGTACCACGCATTTGCAACAGCGAGACCAATGTACACGAGGGCGTAAGCGGCTAGCAAATTGTATCCATCGTTTCGGGAGTCGCCGCTGTCGCTAAGGAATCGAATAAGGTGTGATAGAAGTATTGGTTGGGCGACCATGAAGCCCACAACGCAGAGCCTTGGAATGATTGGAGCGAGTAATCGTGGCAGGAGGGCTTTCGCAGTAACGGATAGCAGTCTGTATTTTGCACCTGGATTGGCTAGAGAAATCCAGAATCACGAGATTAGTAGCTGTTTTGGCCCCCCCCCTTTCTTAAATCAAGGGTTGCTAAACTTACAATTCGACCAGCCGCGCCAAAGCTTCTCTTCCAAATTCGCAGGAGCGGCATCGAAGGGCGGGGCATAGAGATCATTCACTCCGAGTGATTGTTTATATCCCTTGTACAGCAATGGAATCATCCAGAGAAAAAGGCTTCGCGAGATGACGCCGCATTTATCCTCGGGGCTTCGAGATATGTCGGCCTCTCGTGTCAGGTTCTTTGGTAGGGATTCCATTAGTAGAATAATAGCTCGGAGGGCGCACGAGGCGGTAAATATGGCTACGGGTGCGCGGTCGTCGTTGAGTCTCGTCCACAACGTTCGAACTTGGCTCAGATCCAGAAGAACTGAGAGGATGAGATATGAACAAATCAGGAAAGATGGTTTGATGGTCTTCGTGTGCTCGAACCAAGATAGGGGTGCTGTTACCATGGTGGCAAGAAGATAAACAGCGGTCATTGGGAGTGACACTCGTGTTCTAATGGAGGACTCGCGCGACCAGAGGACCAACAGAATTAGATGTGTCACCCATAATGCAAAGACCAGAATCTGCTTTGCTGCCAAGGCTGCACCATACTCGACTCTCCGTTCCCTACGGATGAGTGACCATGTCCGGAATCCTGCGAGAATTGAAAACAGAAAAGCTGGTAAAGCCGAAAGAATAAACTGTTCAAATGATAAGGAGGAGTCGTAATTCTGTTGGCAAGCGCTCACGATTGGCTCCCAAGCATCATCTGCATGTAACAAGCAAGGAGGGCGAAGTATGGATAGGATTTTAAACGATAAGGCTTGTTGTTCCATGTTGCTTGCGCTATTTAGCAAGTCGACTCCTTGTGTGGGCGGCGACCGTCTTTGAGATTGATAAATGATTGAGTAGAAATTCTTGGTTTTTGGTCTTGGGGAGAAGAGGAGGTGTCGAATACATAAACCTCTCACCACCGGCCCAGAAAGAGAAATAAGCCCGGCTTACAAGTATTAAACAGCTAAGAGTTCATCACATAATAGGCAGGTCACTTACGACGGCGTTCGCCGTTTTACCAGGGGGCGGCATTATCCCAACCAATAATGCCAATCTTTAACTAGCCGATCAGCGGTCCTTTTGTTTTCTTTTTCAAGAAAGGAATAACGCTACATCGGCTGACGTATTCCTTGCATTTTAGAGCAATTTAAATAAAATAAGTAAGAGTGCTCTTTAAACTAAATCCCTCTATTAAGTAAACCTTAAGACTTAAATAAGATAAAAGAAGAATAAATAAATATTAGAATTTAATTTAAAGTTTATATATTTATTTAATTATATCCTTAAGGAAAAAAAATTTAATTAATTAATTATTAATTATTTATTTATTTTAAAAATTAAATTATTTTAAAAGTAATATTTATAAATATATAAAATACTTTCTAAGTATTATTTAATATTAATATTATAATTTAAGATTTTAGAGTGATGTTATTACTAATGTAAATGCGTTAAGGCTCTTTTGTTTATAGAGGCGCGGAGTAACTGAGCTAACCTATACCTAACCTAGAGCTGTCGCCTCATGCCCATCGACACAAGAAGCAGACTGCGCAATCAATCATTTCGCCCTGAAATACTTTGACAATTGAGTCTTGATTGATTATTTCGTTTCTAAGAAGTACTATCCGGGTTTCGTCTATAGTCGCGCGTTATGTCTGGGATTTGATTGAAGCCTCCGGTTGGAAAGCTGAGGCCTTTTGCTTGTAGAGATTCGTAGCTTTCAGCGACGACCTAAGCGTGCACCTCAGTGCCCAACCGGTACCAATATTGATTATATAATCACCATGTAAAATGTTTTTCTTTCATCTCCTACTTATATAAGAGTGACTATGTCGTGCCGTTCGTTACCGGAGACCAAAAGGCAGCTGGGAGCGCAAAAAACGAGATCACGTGACTATATTTAGTGCTGATGACTACATGTACTCAACCATTTCGCAAAGTGTTGAGCTCTGAGTGTAATTTATGCAACGTCTGTGATGATTCGTTGGCCATGTCAGTCTCCAAGTCAAGGCAAGTGAGGACCGCTTGTGATCGGTGCTATGAGCTTAAAGCACGATGCGCGCGAGCGCCTGCCGCATCCTCTTGCAATCGGTGCGATAGGCTTGGCCTGGTCTGTTCAAATCTCCGTCCGTACCGACCTGCAGGCCGAAGGATAACACACCAGTCGCGTTCAACATCCACTGGATTATCGACAAAGACCGGATCAGATATTGACACGAACCTTCAGGACATTAGCGCCTTATTAAATAGCCATGCGGATCTTCTCCCGGACCAGAGAGAATTGCTGCTACTTCTACTAGACACCCCCGAAACCCTGGACTGTTACGTGGTGTGTCCAAGCTTCCAGATCGCCGAGCAGCAATCCCTGATGGACCAACTCCCAGGAGGGCTACCAGTACTCAAGGATGCGTATCTAGCGTGCGCTATGGCTCTCAAGAACATCCAGTTAAGCAGGAAGATCGAGAGTGATAGTTTGAGGAGCATTCAACATACATCATCAGCTATGAATATTTTGCGCTCCCTTCCCGTCTCAAATCCACAGGACGCGGCGTTGTGCCTTACCATAGGAATGATGCTTGCAATATCCATATACTCGACCGTTGGTCTTGGTGTCGCCGATGTCTGCCATTATTGCCTTAGCACAACATCTCCGTTCGTGACCAGTGAGGTTCCCGATCCGGTCTTGGAAACGCGACAGGGCTTTCTGGCCCTGCTGGAGTTGATGGACTGCCTTGTTTATCGCCGCAAGCCAACTCTTAGAATCCAACCGTCAAATAGCAGAGGCGTGGACCGTCATCTGGGTCTCTGCTCGCCTTTGCTTCCATATTACTATGATCTGTGCGTGGTCAGCCATTCATTGGCCAACTCAGCAGACAAAGGAAGCCTGGCAATGATGCATAATAAACTGGACGAGATCCAAGCGTCACTGGAAGAGTGGCAACCGTCTTGCTTGGATGGCGAGTTCATTAATCAGTTTTCAACGACCGATGCCGTCAACCTTCTTGCCCAGGCCAAGGTGTATCGGCTAGCAGCCCTTCTTGTCGCTCACAGGCTGCGGTACGGGTTTGGTGAGCAAGATGCGCAGGCTGACATCTGGGCGAGCGAGATTATGATGGAACTCAACATGGCGCAGCGGATTACGAAGCGCCTCATCTGTTTCGTGACGCTGCCGTTCCTAGTTGCCGCGGTTGAACTGCGAAATCCCAGTGCGCGAGGCAAGGCTTTGTATCAGGTGGAGGAGTTTGTGGATAATGTCACCCCCGTGCTGAAAAAGGCCGGCAGGACTTTTTTGACTAGAATATGGCAGGAACGAGACTCGAGAACCACGGCGTTTTGGCTTGATTCGGTTCACAAGCCTTGTCCTGTATTGCAGTCACTGGATCCAGCTTGCCTTGTCTGACCACGCGCTTGGCTTTTAAACTGAATATATCTATAATGGCAGGAGGCATATTACATGTTGCATCTGTAGGGGGTAGACTGGTAAGGTACATGCCTTTCCGTAACATCATGCTAGCATGAACTTGAAATTTTGTAGACCTTGATGATACTGTCGAGCATGACTCGTCATGCAACTGAAGTACCGAAATAGACTTGGGATGGGATGTGCAGCAGGGACAATACTGGTGTTTAGTGTATTTTTTAGTTACTTTCTAGTGGCACAATGGTATAATACTTTGCAAAATAGCGTTTAGCGTAGATCGATATTCTGTTGTAAATATGTCACGAAACTTAATGTCGAGGAAGATAGGTGGGCATTGGGCTTGACAAGAAACATCCGGCATTATCGGCCTATGCGCGCCACTTCATGCATCCTATGCGCCTGGTTGTAATTGTGCATTAATCGGAAATTGTCGGGGAAACAATAGTAAGAGGAAGATTGGATTGGTCAAAATTATCGGTTCTGCCTGGTTAGGTTACATGCAGAACAAGTAGAGTCTGATTGCACATAAATATATAGCCTTGGCACCCAACAAGGTCGCAGGATAGAGGAGCAGCTAGTGCATTCCCAATTCCCGCATCCTACCGTTGCATGGACTCTGAAACCACATGAGCATGTACCCGTGGGGACTTTCAGGCAAAGATGTGAGCGGGGAGGGAACATAGTTGTTCACACATATCCCTCCAACCGATGTCGATTCTACCTCTAATCGCTCCGGACTAAACTCACCTTGCTTTCATTCCAATCTTCTCGTTTCAAATATGGAATCCAAGACGCGATGCAAGATCATCATTGCTGGAGGAGGCGTCCACGGGTTGACACTGGCAAACATGCTGGAGCAGCTCGACATTGATTACGTTCTCCTTGAAGCACGGGATCATCCCACACCCGCTGCTGGTTTCGGCATAGGTATAGTTCCCAATGGACTGCGCATTCTCGACCAGCTCGGACTGTACGAGGGTGTCAAGGCCATCCCTCGAGCATGGTTAGGCCGGACTTCCCTCCATGACTCCGACGGCACTGAAATCACCTCGGTCGGAGATTTGGCTCAGCATTATAAAAGGAGGTTCGGATACCCTGTATTTTTCTTCGATCGACACTGGCTGCTAGAGCTTCTCTACAACAACCTCAAGCACAAGGACAAAGTTCTCGTCAATAAGGCTGTCCGTCATGTCAGTCTCATCTCCGGAGGTATCGAGGTCGAGACTTCGGATGGCCAAGTTTACACCGGAACCTTGCTCGTCGGGGCAGATGGAGTGCACAGTCGCGTTAGGGAGGAGATGCACCGTCTGGCTGAGGATACAGAGCCTGGCTATTTCTCGCAGCACGACAACCCGGAGAGACTATCCAGTTGCTCATACGCCTGTAGTTTTGGTATTTCTCAAAATGTTGACCATCTTCGCAACGATGGCATCATCGCGGTGGTCGGCACTCACTGGACGCAGCTGCATGTCCCAGGCCCGGATAAAAAAGACTATTTCTTCTTCTTTATTCGGCTCCCCAAGACGCTTTACGGAAGTGATATCAAGAAGTATACTAAGAAAGATGAGGAGGAGGTTTTTGAAAAATATTCAAAGCTTCCAGTCTGTGAACACGTTGTCTTGGGCGATGTCTTCTCGAAGAGGCTCAACTCCACGCTGACGCCTCTTCACGAATATGTTCGTGAGAAGTGGTTTTTCGATCGGATAATTGTTCTTGGTGATGCATGCCATAAAGTGAGTTACCGACCAAAAATTTATGGTTGCGGAACTACCTATTCATTGTAGGTAGATCCGCGCGTTTGTGGGCGAGGCTGACAGCTCGACGCAGAACAATCCAATTACAGCCCAAGGCGGCAACAACGCAATTGAATCAGCGGCGGAGTTCATAAATGGCCTCGTAAAAGTAAGAGACTCTCGGCCAGATGGCCTGGATGAACTCAGCGATGGCGATATCGAGACCATCTTCCAGTACGCCCAATCAGCAAGGCGTGGCCGGGCCAACGATACCACAAACAGTGCCCATATTGGGCAGGCTTTGGTTGCCACGGAGTTTTCCCCGGCGACTTTACTTCTACGCAAATGGGTGGCTCCTGTTGTCTCTGACGAGTTGATCCTCAACTTCTTTAGTATTGTGGTCCCCGGAGCTGCAAGACTTCACCATTTGCCTGTGCCGAAGTATCGCCATGCGATTCCTTATGACGATGAAGTTCCAGGAAAGCCTTTCAGCAGGCGAACTTTCCTTTCGGGGTTCCTCCTATTCGCAGGTATCATGATGCTTTTGATCTGGAACTCGCCTGGTGCCTGGCCTATCGTGTCTGATCCTCAGTCCTGGGTTGGCCAGACCGCAGTATCGCTAGTATCTGCCTTAATCGTGCCAATCCCGGGACACGACTTAGCTTCTGGAGTCCATTTGGTTTACTTCTCAGCACAGTTTATCTCGCCTATTCTGATTTACACGATCGAGGGCTACCGTTTAGGGCACCGGGCTACCTTCATCAGCCTGCCGTTTGTTATTCTGGCCGCGACCCAAATCTGGGGAATCTGGTTCACCATCCCAGTCTACGCCATCCTTCATGGTTTGCAATGCCACTGGTACTGCACTGGAAGGTTTATCAAACCCGAGGTTGCCAAGTCCCTGGTCCCTTCTCTGATTCTCGGTTACATTGTACCAACTATTCTGATGTTCACTCTGGATGACGGCATAGCTCCGCAAGCCTTGGCCGCTTTTTGGCAAGTCGGACCTCCTCTGGTGCCCATTTTGACTCGCTTGATTTCTTCCTTGATCCTATGGCATATCCGCTCCGGCTGTTCTGAGGAGGCGAAGACGGAGAAGGAGAAGGATGACGAATATGAGCGGTACAGTGACGAAGATGTCCCATATCTCAACATCGCGTATGCATTTACTTTTGCCATCCAAGCAATAGTTCACGCCACTGTCTGCGCTTTCGTCTTGACACGCCCCGAGTTCAACTTTAGCAGCATCTTCTTCAGCACTTCTAACTTAATTTCCAACAATGGATACACCACGGAGGCAACTACACTATTCCTCGGGCATGCCATGGGTATATCTGCTTTTGCTGTCTTTCTTCATTGTATGTATGCGATCTGGATTTTGCGAGCGCGAGGCTATGTGGTGACGAGGGAAGCCGTCGAGGCTGTGATGCTCGTAACTCTTGGCCAGGTCCTCGTTGGCCCTGGAGCTACCTGGACGGGGCTTTGGTGCTGGAGAGAATCTGTATTTGCTGGCCTCAACTCGAAATGATGATCAAAATCATCTATCTTTTGCTCATTCTCTCGTCAAGGCTTGGAGATGAGGAGGAAAGTCGGCCGTTTAGTTATTTTATTTTATCCATACCAAAATATATGCCCATGTGACTTGTGAAACTTTGAACTGTGAACGTATTGCAGGCCGATTAGAGAGGCCCCTGAAGGATTCTATGGTCGGAGGCTATGCTCTGGCTCGTTATGCCAAGTTGTTATGCTAAATCGTTAAGCTAGATCCGCCGATGCCGATGGAGTGGATCAATCTCCATGCCGATATTATTGATACTTTCCGGCGTCGACTTGATTGGGCTGTAGATCGCTCTCGCATTCGCACGGGGCATCTAATTGCATCATTCGCTCGGGAGGGGCGGAGTTCGGAGATAGTTGAGCTGCCTAGAAACGGCTTTCGCTTTTTGAATAAACACGAAGGCTAAACCCGTTCACATTGTTGTTTTCTTGGGAGGCCTGTTTACGAGGGGTAGGTTTGTAAGCTTGACCCCTCACAAATGGCGGCAAGGATTAAGGAAGGAGAAAGACGGAGCATATAAGCAATGGCTCCCCCTCTTGTCCTGGTAATTAATCTATCCCGACAGTAAGAGCAACGCTGAAATCACCGACTAATCCCACAATGGCCGAGACACCCGTCATCCAAGTGCTGGAGAAGGAGCACTACTTCACCCAGAAGCTCATCCCCCTCCCGGATGAGCTGCCCTACCCACAGCTTGGGCCCTCTTCGCTCCGACTCAGAACAAAGGCATTCACTCTATCGGCCAATAACTTTGCCTACTGCAAGATCGGGTTTGCACTGGGATGGTGGAGCTTCCACACTCTCCCACCGAGCACACCAGCGCCGTACAATGACTCTGCCGTGTATGGCCGCACCAATGCTTGGGGATACATGGAGGTGATTGACTCCACCGTATCCGCCGTGCCCAAAGGCAGCTTTCTTTTCGGCTACCTCCCCATTGGCACGCTGGCCCAGGACGTTCAGTTTGAAGTCGGCTCGACGCCCGGCCAGGTGGTAGCCACGAGCCCTTACAGACGGGAGCTGATGACCATCTACAATCACTACACCGTTAGCGGACCTGAGACGGGATTGGCTTTGCAGGCGAAGACGCCAGAGGCAGGGCTGGATGTGGTGCTCCGAGTCATGACGGAGACGGCCTTCCTCCTCAACAAGTTTGTCTTTGCGGCAAATCCCCAGGAGACGGTGAAGCCTTCAGCCCAGCCCATGAACTGGACCGGCGAAAGGGCCGACATCACAGACGCGACCCTCATTTTCCTGGCGCCGGGATCCAAGGTGGCGCTGATCCTCGCTCAGCTCATCAAGAATGACCGATCGAGTACAAAGCCCAAGCGAGTAATTGGTGCCGCGAGCGACTTTTCCAAGACCTTTGTGGAATCAACCGGCAAGTACGATGCCGTGGTGTCCACGAGCGAGTCGCCGGCGGAATTCCTGCCAAAGCTGGGCGTTGACCCCGCCGAGAAGGTGATTCTCGTCGACTTTGGCGGCAGGGCAGGCTTGGGGCAGAAGTGGACGTCGGTGATTGCCCCGGCCTACAAGAACTTCCTGCTGTTCCTGATCGGTTCAGAACTTTCCGAGGTGTCACAGGCCAATGCGCTGAAGGCTTTGGCCGCCCAGAAGCCCGATTTTGCCATTCAGGTCAACGCCTCTGATATGAGAGAGGAGGCAATCAAGAAGGTGGGCGAGGCGGAGTACCTGGCTGGCCTGAGCAAGGCTGTGAAATCAGTTCAGTCAACGGGGATCAATGGCCTCAAGGTGACATGGGGCGAGGGCATGGAGGATGCAGCCAAAGGCTGGGACCGTCTGGCCAAGGGCGAGGTTGGCCCTGATGAAGGCTTGGCTTTTCTTGTTTAGATGACATGTCATAGATTGAAACGAAGAGTATTAGGCAGCAGTCTGTCATACCAAGAGATATCTGACGAAATTTGGACTTTTTCTAAGGGTTCTCTCCTGTACTAAGGGTTTTGACGTTCCTTTATCCACGCGGAATGTTTCCTGAGCGGATATCGACAGTCTGTCAGTCGAGACAAACAACTTGGGACATTTTTACAGGGATAAAAGCTCTAAGCACGTGTAAACCATGGCATGCATGAACAAAAATGAGAAGAAACAGGCTTGACCGCCTGGTGTACGCGAACCTGAGGCTTTGTTACACCACGCTCGGCCGGTGACTCACCGCAGTGTTAGTCTGAGATGGGGCCACGATCATGTAAGACGTGAGGCAACAATACGATAAATAACCAAGCCTTCAATGTCGAACCCCCTCTAGTGATATTCTACTCATGTGAAGCTTGCAATTCAAATACTGGGAGCTTCTTTTCTCCATTCACAAACTTCGCCATACTTACTACAATGGCCGACGAGCAGGCTCCTCAGTGCGGCTGCTATGTCACCACCAGCGACAACATCGCCTTCATCCCTCTAACCAAAGTCGAAGCTCACACCATCATCCAGGTCACCGCCTCCCAGACCCGTCTCAGCCAGTATTTTATCAATCCGGACCCTGGCAAGCCTCTGGATGAGCTCAACTACGTTTTCCCGCTCTATGACGGTGTCTCTGTCGTATCCTTTACTTGCACCATCGGTGACCGTGTAATTCATGGCGTCGTTAAGGAGCGACACGAGGCACAGGCTACGTACAACAAGGCTGTCGAGTCTGGCAAGCTCGCAGGCTTACTACAGAAGTCCTCGGCAGCTTCCGATGTATTTTCCACAACCGTTGGAAATGTTCCCGCGGGCGCAGAGGTCAAGGTCGAGATCACGTACCTCGCCGAGCTGAAGCATGATGCTGAAGTTGATGGCATCCGGTTCATTCTTCCAACGCATATTGCGCCTCGATATGGTCCAGGATTTTCCCTCAAGGAATCGAACGTCGCGACACAGGGATCCATCTCCATCACCGTGGACGCGGACATGCCAGATGGATGCTCAATCACTTCCATCCAGTCGCCCTCTCACCCCATCTCCATCCAGATTGGTCGCTGCTCAACCTCAGTCGAGACAGCTGAGCCATCTCTTCAGAGGGCTTCGGCCTCGCTCGCCCTCGGATTCGCCTCGCTCGAGAAGGATTTCATCCTCCACATTGTGGCCCCGAAGATCAAGGAGCCATCCGCCGTCCTCGAGACGCATCCGACCCTGCCCAACCAGCAAGCCATCATGGCAACCCTCGTCCCTCAGTTCAGCATTCACCCCGAGACGCCCGAAATGGTCTTCCTTTGCGACCGAAGCGGCAGCATGTACTATGGCCAGGACCAGAAGATCCCCAATCTCCAAAACGCCCTCAATATCTTCCTTCGCTCCCTGCCCGTCGGCGTCAAGTTCAACATTTGCTGCTTCGGTACTCGGTACGACTTCTTGTGGCCCGAGTCTCGTGCCTACGAAGAGGCGAGCTTGGAAGCAGCGTTCAGACATGTAAGCACATTCGGTGAGACCAACTACGGCGGAACCGAGATGTGTGAGCCTTTGAAAGAGGTGTTCCGGAGACGACAGAAAGACATGAACCTGGAGGTGTTTCTTCTGACCGATGGTGACATTTCAAATCAGGGTTCGCTCTTTAAGCTCATCAACGAAAGCATGGCGGAGGCGAAGGGATCGATCCGCCTGTTCACTCTTGGCATCGGCGACGACGCCAGCCACGCTCTGATAGAGGGAGCCGCGCGTGCAGGTAACGGATTCGCGCAGACGGTCGGGTCGGAGGAGAAGATGAACCGCAAGGTGATCCGCATGCTCAAGGGCGCGTTGACTCCGCACATCTACGACTACTCCCTAGAGGTCAAGTACGAGCGCACCGCATCAGATGTCGACGACGATGATTTCGTGGTGGTTGAGAAGACGTTGGATTCTCTCGCTATTGAAACTACCGTGATCGAGCTTAAAGATGAATCGGAGCTGGTGCAAAAGACAATTCCGATTTACGACGACGACATGGGATTCGGTGACCAGCCGAAGGAGGAGCAACAGGATCCAATCCTGGAACTTTCTATGCCCAAGTATCTACAGACGCCGTGTCCCGTGCCGGCTCTGTTCCCATTCACTCGCACAACCGTGTATGTCTTGATCTCTGACCAACCTGCGTCTCTCGTCGCCAAGTCGGTGATTCTAAGAGGCACCGCGTCAGTAAATTCAAACGGCACTGCCGAGCGCGTCTCTCTGGAACAGGAGATCCCCATCACAGCGCTGCCAGGAAAAGGCACCACGATCCACCAGCTCGCGGCCCAGAAGGAGATCACAGAGCTGGAGGAAGGAAGGGGATGGCTCTCGCTGGCCAAGGATACCGAGACGGGTAGACTGATCAAAGAAAAGTTTCCTGCCGCCCAAATCCAAGACATGAGGAAGAGAGAGGCCGTCCGATTGTGCTTGAGATACCAAGTTGCTGGCATTTATTGCTCCATGGTGGCCGTTGATGAGAGCCACGAGGCCGAGGATAATACGCAGCATGCCATGATACACGGCGGGTGGGAAATGGACGATGACGACGAGTCCGACGAGGACATGGGATTTGGCTTGTTTGATGGCTACTCTCCCCCGCCACCACTACCACGGGCAGATATGCATGCCGAATTCTTTGCAGATGAGACGGATGAGGAAGAAGACGAAGAAGGGTCAACGGGGCACGGCGGCGTGTCGAAAGCTTCGGGGATTAGAGACGCGCTGCAAACCATTGCCTCCCTACAGAAGTTCACTGGCAGTTGGGAGTGGGACAAGGCAGCCTTGCTCGAGAGACTGCTCGGAGTCACGAAGGACGACATATTGATGAAAGCACAAGGAGCTGGCCTAGACAAAGAAAAGGACATGGTGCTCGCTACCTTGTGCGCGCTTGTGTTCTTGGAGACCAACCTGGCAAATGAGAAGGATGCGTGGGAGTTGATGGCGGAGAAGGCGGCCGGCTGGGTCACGGAGCAGGTTGGTGGGACAGACGAATACGAGAGGTGGGAGAGAGTGGTACGGGCGCTACTATGATTTGCTGTCTGTAGTATCCTGAATTGCCTTTTAATATTAGAGATGATACGTATGAAAGTTGGAGGAATGTCAAAGAGAATGTGAAGAGAGACGAAGCACGTCATTCCGCCATCAGTGGCGAGAGTTTACGTACAGTACCTATGCATGCATGAAGTTTAAAGGCAATGATACGTGTACCCAGGTCTCAATTGTCCGATAATTAGATAATACTAATTAATTAATATTATTGCGAGAGACGCTGTGCAATTTGATACGTCGTAAATTGAGCAACTGTAGCTGTGCTGTGCCAGTGAGGGTATCCAATTTCGTAGCCCGGAACCGACCACATTAAAATAAAATAACATAATTCGTGGCTTCATCGTGTTGAACATGAACATCCTGGCCCGCCAAGATAAGAAATAATATACCAAGAAATAACCCCCGTCGATGGATGCCCAATAACCGAGCACAACTACCCGGTGCCACGTAGAGACGCCCGCCAGCTGCCATCAGCGAATGCGTCCCCCCCGATGCCGGAGGCTGCGTTCCGTGTACACCAACCTGCGCATACGCCTCGCATAAAGCAATCCGCAGACATTGCACAGCGTGCCTGGCCCATCCGGGCCCTTCCGCCATCTGGGTGTCGCTTCCGCTCTGCACTCGTGGCACATCACCTGCAGCCGCAGTTGTAAAGGCACTTCGGCGTCCTCGTCCATTTTGTCTTCCTCGTCCGGGTTCGGCGCTGGAGATTGGTTGAGAGGCAGGGACGGCGCGGCGGAGGAGGGATAGTGGCTTCGGTGCGAGGTGGTGCTAAAGACGGTGAGCTTGTTGTGCTTCGACGACCCCGCGTAATGCAGTCTCCTCCTCAACCTGCTTCGGCTTCGGTGTTCGGCCTTGTCGCCTCTGCCGTCCGCCATGAACATGATGCGGGCAAGGTTGTGCCCGATGGTATTCGATATCTCGGTCATGGCTTCGAGTTCGCTCTCGTCGAGAAGGGCGAGGAGTTGTTCGGGGGTCAAGGGCGTGAAGGCGTCTCGGCCCGTACCAGAGCCGACAGTCCGGTCTCCTCTGCCGCTCGTACATTGCAGAAGATCCTTGGCACCTCTCCGTATCTGTAGTTGAAGCCATTGTTAGATGTCGGCTAGATCAAATTGAAGGAATTCCCAGGGTGATAGCATACCAGCCCAAAGAGTTCGTTGAACGCCTTCTGGTTCGAAGATTGCCTCGCATTTTCGCGGGTTGTCTCGGATGTTTTGTCGTAGACCGGGATCGATAGAGAGGGAGGGGCAGAAGGAAGAGAAGACCCGAAATGCGGCACGACGGCTGGGTTTGGCACTGTTTCCATGCCTACCGTGATATGACCTGCGGTTTTCGGCGTGGAAATGAGGAAGGACTGGCACCGCTTTCCGCGGCCAAGATGATAATTGAAAAGAGAGAATGAAAAGATGGAATAACCTCTGGCGGTCCGAGAGCGCAACTCGGATCTATATATGGCAATTGCACAAGCAAAAGCAAAACGGTGAGCGCCGATCAATACCTGAAGTGCGCACGTAATGTGACTACCAGAGGCGAAATGGCTTGGCCAGCCCATTGAATTTGGAACATGGACGTAGGCGGGGGAAGGACCCTGGATTTTTAATTTAACGCTTGACCAAAAACAAAGGCCAACAAGGTTCGGGGCGGAACAGGGGTCCAGATACGGCTCCCCAGCTCCGGCTGGCACCCTGAGTCGTCACCGCGTGGCAAGATTCCCAAACTCTATCCATCCATTAGGTTTGACAGGTGGCTCTGGGGTAGCCCCGAAGGCCACCGACATTAAAATGAAGTGGCTTGTCCGTAGTGCAAGAAGCAGGAATCGCATTCTGAATACATTAGGCGTAAGTGTATATTCAAACAGACAGGCTATGCTATCCGATAACTTGTACCCGGCGAAAATGTGACAGTCGCAGGGTGGAAGGAGATCGGTGCGACCTTCCAACCCGCGCGTCTGCTGCGAGGCTTTCATCCTAGTCGCTATGCCTCGACTGGCTCCTTGGGGATTGCTAGACAGCCATTTGCTGGCTCCTCAGTGCTGTCGCCATTGACATGCGCAGGACTGTCCGGGTGACATAGCCACTTCAAGAGCTTCTGCATCAGAAGTTGCCTGTTCACCGGCTTAGCTATATAGTCGTCCACCCCCTTCTCTAGACAGAACTCCCTATCACCCTTCAGCGCGTAAGCAGTCATCGCGATAATGGGTACGCAGGAACCAGAGCTCCTAATCCATACAGTTGCCTCGTACCCATTCATGACAGGCATGCTGATATCCATGAAGATCAAATCAAACACATGGCCCTGGGAGACCAGTATCGACACTGCTTGCGCACCATCGCCAGCGACTGTGATATCCTCAAACCCAAATCCATGCAGCATGCCCACCAGGACCTTTTGGTTGATGATGTTATCCTCCACCGCCAATATGCGCTTTGTCCTCGCGATTCCTCTGAGAAGATTTAGCTGTAGCGCGGCGTCTGTGCTGTGGTCCTTTGATGGCGACCGCGACGGCTCATCTACTCCTTGCTCAGCATCTGTGCTGGTTGTTTTTGGAGACTTGACCTTGCCAAGTTTGACGGAAAACCAGAAGATACTTCCTTCACCTTCCGGATTGCGTTCATAGCCGATGTCACCCCCGAGCAATTCGCAAAGGGACTTGCTGATGGACAGTCCTAAGCCCGTGCCTTGCCGGCGCTTCTGATACGTTGTATCGAGTTGTGTGAATGGCTCAAAGAGTTTCGCAGCGGCATCCTCGGGGACCCCGTGACCAGTATCAATGACCTTGGTGAGGAGCGTGTGTGTCGTCTCGTCCTCGGCCGAAACTGACACCTGCACAGTGATAGATCCCTTCTCGGTAAATTTCCCAGCATTTCCAATAATGTTCTCGGCAATTTGGCGATACCGAATCGGGTCGCCCATGGCTTTGGGCAAACCTGGTGCTAAATCGAGGTGCATTGACACTCCCGGCTGCAATGTGGTCCTCACACTCCGCGTCACCGAGGTGATGATCCCCGCGATATCGACCACGTCGCTCTGGACGGAAAATCGACCTGCCGCCAATTTGGAATAGTCTAGGATATCGTTAATAACCTGCAAAAGAACCCGTCCCGACTCGTCAATGAGGTTCGCGGTTTCTCGCTGTTCCTCCGACAGTTCGGTGTCCAGGAGAAGGCTGCAGGGGGACAGCATGCCGTGCATCGGCGTTCGAATCTCGTGGCTAATGTTGGCCAGGAAGTCATTCTTCAATCTGCTGCTCTCCTCATAGGCCGCTACCAGCCGTAATTCGTTCTCTTTCCGCTCGTTGAGATTCCGGGTGACTTTGCCGAATCCAACGTGGATGTCGTTCCTGTAAATTGCTGTGATGACGACGTTGGCCCAGAATCTGCTCCCATCTTTGCGGTAGCGCCATCCTTCATCTTCGACCCGACCTTCTCTTAGGCATCTTTCCAGCGCCCCGTCAGGTTTCCCGCGTTGCAGATCCTCCTCGCTGTAGAACACTGAGAAGTGTTTGCCGATAATTTCCTCCTTCTTGTAGCCTTTGTTAAGCTCTGCGCCCGTGTTCCACGTCACGATATTCCCGCGCGTGTCCAGTAGAAAGATGGCGTAGTCTTTCACGGCATGGACAAGGATACGGAAAGCGTCGTCGATGGGCAGCCAGCTCTGACTCATGCCGCCATCGGGGACGGCCACGTGAAGCTCTGCCTTCTCCCACTGCAGCAGAAGGCACAATAAGTCCTCCTCCTTGTGGACTGGAGTGATACGGGCTGTCCAGGTGTCATCTCCCGAAACGTAGGCAGCATGGCAAAGGCGGAGGGCCTTGGAGGCGACGGCAGTCTCGATGGCATAGGCCAGCGGAATGCGGTCGAAGCGTTCAGTCTTCGAGCCCCGGTACAGCGCGACAAAGAGATCTTTGTCGACCAGATCCTCGCGAGTACGATCCCATGCCTGGAGCAGCCCAGTCGAGGCTCTCTGGATGCAATAGGAGTCGCCGAGGGGCTGTACCACCAAGGTAGGGACTGGCAGAAAGTCGAGAATCTCACTCATCCTGGGGGCACGGGAGGAGCCGCAGCGCAACGGTAATTAGCGCGTTGGAGTGGGTTGAAGGGTCAAAAAATGCCAGGCGGGCAGCAGTCGTGGAACTGGGTTGGGCAGCGACCGGCTGAGCTGGACTCTGGAGGCACCACGCACTCCTCTGGGGGCTCAGGGCTGAGACGGACAGGCCATGACAGGAGTTGTCAAGTCGAGGGGGCAGAGAGAGTGCGTGGAAATTTGATCGTGTGGCAGAGGCTGCATCCCCCCTCCCAGCTATCGAACGCCATGGGCATCCATCCTCGACAAAGTACCACCACTCAGACCGCTATTGACCAGCCTTCCTCTTCTCAGACTGGCGCGTGACGTCAGTGTGACTTAATGGTGACTGGGTGGCTGATGCTGGGCTCCAGTCTCGTTCATGTAACCAGCTTCTCTCGTCAGATCTCAACTCCGAAGCAACGGAACCTCGCGCAGGAGGCTATTGAATTTCACGGCCAGGATGTAACCTCATTTAATCCAACGGCATGATCATCAAATATTAGTGCCAGCGTCAGCCCCATCGCGTGGTTTGCTCCGGGCCTCTGCGACTAGCCCCTGGCTACGGCGTTTAGCGTAACGACAGCCCTGAAGCCTCACTGTGTCGCAGATCTTGGCCCAAAGCGCCTGACCAGTCCGGCGCTATTTGCAAGCCGTTGGCCACTATCAGCGGGGAAATGGCTAGAATCACACTTGGAATCCTGAAACAGCCAGAGACCAACCTATCATTCGAAATTTCCCCTTGAGCTTGCATGTAGTAGCTGAGAGTGTGCGATATAGGCAGCAGACAATCTACTAGAGGTGTAGAAGCCTGCCTTGGCTCATCCATGGCACACGTATTAACTCTTAGGCCAGGATCAAAGAGGTGTTGGATGGGTCTCCTTGGCTTCGAGTTTCTGTTCTTCACGCTGAGTGGTCTATTTGTCTTATGGCAGTTGAAGCCAGTCGCATCTGTCAGGAAATTCAATAGTAGCGAGTGATCAAATGCGAGAAAACCGTTGCGGAACCTCATCTTCCCAACCCCACCAGATAGCTTTTCACGTAAAGGCTCTACTATACGAGGCAGTATTGAGCACTAATAAAGCTCTCGGCTCATGGACATCTTCGATTTGTGCGTGCGTGAGAAATGGCAGGAAGGAGCACCCGCGCTGGGCTCCTGCCGCCTTCTCACAATGTCCTCAACACATTTTTTCTTCCACTCACCTCTCTGCCCTTCTCTTTTCTTCCCCTTCCGATCCAACTCTTCCGCTTCAACACTTACCTAAGTTTATATGCAAAGGCTAAGATCGCATCTCAGAACTTGAGTGCTGCTTATAGCAACTTCCAAAACAGCCAACGCTCGCGAACAGCCATCAGTCGCCCATCATGACTCCAGCCCTCCTCAATTTGCCTGCGGAGATACATAATGAGATTGCTTTTTTTCTTTCTGGCCGCGAAGTGAAGAACCTTCGTCTAGTTTGCACCAAAGCACTAGAACGGTTTCCCCTGAAATTGTCCCGTGTCTTTCTCTCACCAAATGAAGCCGACATCAAAGTGTTCCGCAAAGTGTCCGAACATGAGACCCTCAGGCATCAAGTCGTGGAGTTAGTCTGGGACCACACTTATTTTCCTGAACTTCACTCAATGGCCTATGGTAGAATTGGCTCAGAATTGGTAGACATGGTGGACTTTCAGACCCGGTGTGAATTGGAAGCAGCCCAAACTCGTGTCCGACAGAAACGATTCTCTCAGTCAGGGCTTCAGTTCCCAGATCAAGCGAAATGGCCAGAAGCGGATGAGGTTGACTATGAGTTTTCGACGAACTTTTCTGAACCTCGGGGTGGTACGCTATCGGCGTGTGAATGTATTCAGATATACAATACGCTCGCCAGATGTCAGACTGCGAATATCAAATCGAGAAAAGATCTCAGAGCACTCTCCGATTACATCTATCGTTTCCCACGTCTGAAGAAGATCACGATCTGCCATGTGACCCAGGGTTGGCTTTTCGAGCCATTTTACGATACGCCAACTACTCGACTTCTACCTCGAGGCTTCAAGTATCACATAGACCGTGTTGATTGCGTGCAGGAATACAACGAAGAAGTCTGGTCCAAAATGAAGAGGGAGTATCCAAAATACTTCCGTGGATACATTGGAATACTAAATGTACTTGCTTCGGTCGGAAACAACCTAAAAATTGAGGAGCTATCTATACAGAGCAACGGGCTGTACTTTGGCTTGACAGCCCATATCTTCGACCGGGTAACACCAGAGTACCGTGATCTTGTTGCACTGCTGAGTAGACCGACTTTTCGACGTCTGGATCTAGTTCTTACTACAAACAGTCAAAAACGCATACATTGGCCAGCATTTCGTTCGGGCCACCTACGCAACGCCTTAGGTCGGGCCGTGAATCTTCAGCACTTCAGCCTCGCTGCTGACATACACACGTTTCGGCTTGATGAGTATGATTGGACTCCCTTGAATCAGTTCATCCCCGCCGATTTTTGGCCACTGCTACGGTCTTTCCGCCTCATGGGCTTTTTGGTCAAGCAGGGTGATCTTGTTACCTTTCTGGGTGTGCTTCCGCTGAGCGTTCGATCTATCGAGCTAGGCCAGCTTTCCTTCGTCCGCGGACATGGCAATTATGCCACACTACTTGACTTGATCAAGGACGAGCTGCATTGGAGCGATCGGCAAGTGGCAAAGCAACCGCGACTGACAATCATCATTGCCATTGACCGCTTTGCTCCACCTGGAATGATGAATTGGATCGATTCTGAGACCCAGGAATTCATATATAATCATGGGAGAAACCCATTTCGAGGTCCTCGAGGGCCTGTGGATGTCGATGCCGGGGTCGGCGTTGAGCGTGATGCGTTCAATCCGGACCATGAATGGCCCTATCAGGACGATTTCGATTGGGAACAGGAAGTCAAAATCATGAGAAGGCAAAATCATCGACTTTCCTCAGATCTGAACAACTGCTTGGATAAAATAGCGTGGGGTCCAGACGTGGCTTCCAGGCTCCAGGCGGCGAGAGAGGGATCACAAGGGCCGTGGCAGGACGATGAAATTGACTCGATGCATCTTGATTCATCATTTCTCTAATAGTGTCCTGGCAGTTTGGCTTTAGTAGAACCAAATCCTTACGTAGTAGCGTCGCTATCTGTCTAAGGGATCTTCTTGGGGCCGAGGATCATGATCATCTGCATTGATGAACTCCGGTCGAGATACGGGCTTACATGTTATTGAGGCTGGGAGGCGAGGGAGAGATCTTTAATCAAAATCTCCAAAGATCCGAAATAAAAGCATTGAGTTAGTCAAAAGCACGAAGATTAGTTTCAATGAGACCAATTTTTTGATTTATCCCCATGTAACCTTTACACATTGCTAGACCGCCAACATTTCTTAAGTCAGAGTTCTCTGGGCTGATAGTGGCACCCGAACATCATGGATGTTCCCAGTATGGAGTGCACATTGTCAGACAACTCCCAGTCGAGGAGGGCTACCAAAGCCACGCGCATTTGACGCTTTTTGTCCCATATTACTAGCCATCCTATTCCTCTGTTGAGGGTAGCGCGATTGACATTCAACCCTCAAGAAAAGGCCATGAAAAGGACCGGACAAGGTCACCACATCGCCAAAATCCCGTTGCTATAGAAACATACACCCTAAAGGAAAGCGATCTATTATCTATTATACATATTGCAGAAGAATGCGCTATGCAGGCGGTTATGCCTGTTAGAAGTTTCCAGACGGTTCGTTTGGCTGGGAAGCAAGTGTCCGCACGAGTACGAGTAGAAGAGCAAGCATCGAGGTCATTTCAGACAACAAGAATAGATCTAATAAAGGTTTGATTTAATCTGGATGCCCATGCAATGTACATTACTCAAATTTAATGAAATACACTCTATCCGCAAGTTCTAAAGGGTTGGTCAACTCCAATACATCTGATGATTACAAATAGTGCTGTGGGCTCCCGACTAATATATCCACTGAATGCCCCTGTAAGGAGCCAAGGCTGATAATCAACCACGAAATATTTGTTGTTTTCCCCAAAATCATCATCACCTTTCATTTTCCCCAAGCAAACCAAGCACAGCCAGCTCACTTTGAAATATTTCCATCGACGCTCATTCTCCGATGCGGTCTAAGAAAGGGTGTATTACTTGTAGGTCTGTGACGGGACAACTCATCTCCCTCAAAAGCCCCTCCCTCTGCCTTTGAGCGTTCATTGACAATCGCGCACACTGCAGGATTCGCCGAGTGAAATGTGACGAGACAGAGCCTCAATGCAAGAGATGCATATCTACCGGCCGTGTCTGCGACGGCTACACGCCAAAGGACAGCGGCATATCGCGGCGCCAACTCACCCAGATGGCCCACGATCTGGACATTGTCGGTCCCCTGTCGAGAGCCTTCGTGCAACAGCGCCCCGTGCCGGTTTCGCCGGATGAAGGCAGTTATTTTGACTTCTTCCGCCACGCCACTGTTCCTGGCACCTGTCATCTGTTTCCCTCAAGCTTCTGGCAAGAAAAAGTGATGCAGCTAGCCCACAGCGAGCCTGCTATCTGGCACGCGACCGCCGCGCTGGGTGCTCTTCATCAGAGGTCAGAAGTGGTCCTGCAATCCATCGGGAGTCACGAGATGGCGCTCCTTAACCAGGGACTCGCGCATTATGGACAGGCCATGGCGCTCGCAAAGGGTCTGGACTCCCCTACCAAGGTCGCGGTTCTGTCACTAGCCCTCGTCGCCATCGCAAGCCTCCTCGAGAGGTGGCCAGAGATGCACACGCATATCATGGCTTGCTTCAAAATCATCAAAGAGCACGAGGCGCATACGCCAAGCTTCAAAGGTCTCCTTGGTTCATTGATGCGATCGGATCTGCATGCGATGACTCTTAGCGACTCTCAATCGCCTTATCCGTACGAAGAATCGTCATCCGTGTTTGCTGCCAGCCGGTTTCTCGCATCTCCTCCTGTCGAGGGAGACTCCTACGAGGAGCTCGCCTCAGAGCTGTTCGGCCTAGGGAGAGCATGGTTTCTTTTGGATGATGGCACTCTTTCGGCGAACGCCTTGTATGGCCCTTGGATTACAAATCTTGATGCTTTTCATCGTCGCCTCGCTCAATGGGAGGCTAAGATGGGAAATTATGAAAAGACTCACAATGGTGATAGTGAACTGACGACAAGGTTGTCGCTTCGCCTCTATCATATTACCTTCCGAACAATTCTCCGGGGTACTTCGTTTGGCCCCGAGACTCGTTTTGATTCACTACTGGGCTACTTTGAGTATGCCGTGAGGCTGGTGATGTGCCTTCGGCGGAAATTGGCCACTGCAGACGTAATAGGGCTGAGTCTGGAACCCGGGGTGATCGTCCCCTTATGGATAGTGTGTCAACGTTGTAGGCACCCTTCTCTGCGCCGAGCTGCTCTCAAGCTTCTGAGTGAGGCGAACAGGGTAGAAGGCATATGGCCGAGCCATGCGGCAATGGCAGTGTTGCAGGCTGTTGCAGCCTTGGAGGAAGAATCCCTGGGCCCTGTCGACGTAGAACCCTTTGCGCCGCCAGATTCGGATACTTCGTTCTTATCCGACATTCCGTGGAGCGCCTGGTCCAAGCCTCAATTTGACATTCCCACAACTCAAAGTTGGGCCAACGTGCCTGTGATATCAGAAGAGATGCGCGTGAGAGATATTCTGGGTTCAAAGCGAGTTGCAGAGCGACAGATCGACCTACGCCTCTTGATGAGCTCGAATAATAGCGCCGAGCCATATGGAATGCCGGTGGAGCTAACTGTAAGTTACTAAAGTCAAAACGACTCTTATGTGAAGACCAATACAATGGATAAAATGTTGTCATACACCAAATAAATAGGATTCTTGATTAGGTACTTAGATCTATCAAAATCTTACACAACTTCACATCCAAATTGGGAACGAGATTCTCAATCAAGACTCTGTAACTTCCTTATGGGAATTCAGTTCTGAGTCTCCCGACAGTTGAGACCATGGTGTTGCCCGAACCCCATTTAGCCCAGGCCTTTCCTCCAGATGTAACACCGACGGAGAGAGCACCCCAGATATAGTACTTGCCGCTCAGCGTCTCCCAGAATGGGCCACCAGACTGGCCACCGGCGCAATCGGTATTAGTGGACAGGGGGCCATAGGTGTCGCAACCGTAGCCGTGCTCGGCGAGGACCTTGTTGTTGGTCTGGCGGAACGGCCTCTGCCCGTTGGTGCTGCGGTCGCCGGGGTAGCCGACGTGGTTGAAGCCGACCTGCCCGATCTTGTTCTTGTCGACGAGCTTGACGCCGAAGTAGCCGTTGCTGTCTCCGAGGCGCTTGTTGATGATCATGACGCCCCAGTCATTCTTGATGCCGCACTCGCCTCCGTTGGTGACGATGGAGACGGTGGTCGTGACCTGGGCCTGGCCCTTGTGGCTGCCGTTGTCATAGCCAGCCGAGAAGGTGGCTGTTGCGCCAGAGATGAGGCAGTGCTTGGCAGTCAAGACGTGGCGAGGGCCGACTAGGGCACCGGAGCAGTAGACTCCATTGCTCCATTGGATTCTGCCAACGGAGATGAAGGGGTAGGCGGTGCCCGTGTACTGTTTACGGTCATCCGCGCCTTCAATGAAGCGTTCTTCAAGAGAGACAACATCGACCCCAGGGGCTAGGAACGGTTCAATCTGGGAAGAAGTCTCGTTGGCAACATCATCGATGGTAAGAGTGATTGCCTCTGGGATGTTGCTGTCATCCACACCGAGTGTGCTGACATAGGAGGCATCGAAACCCAAGAGGTCGTCGATCTGGACCTCCGAGTCAGGAAGAGGAGTTGCTGAGACGACAGAGAGAAGGGCTGCGGACGCAACCGCGGAGAAGAGAGCCTTGACCATGATGAAGAAGCTTTGAGTAGCGAATGCTATGCTGCTTTGGATGAGGATTTCAACAAGACTGAGGAAGGCATCTGTCCCTTATTTATACTTTCTTGATGCACCGGATGAGAAGCAGGTCCTCGTATCAATTGCTATGTAACATGCCATTGAGTTGCAGTATAAGGCATTCGAAAACAGCATTGTCCGAAGTCTATCATCATTTCCACTCTGCCGTGTTCCTGCAGGAACTTGGGTATCCAAAGACCCGATATTACTACCAGGCCAGCCTTAACATCCAAATTAACCAATAGGGGTGGCATTGTGGCAAGCCTTGGCAAATCCTACACCCAGCCAATGTCAGCCGATGAAAATGTCACGTTGACGAGAGCAACAAAGATTCCATCGCAGATGAGGTAAGCCTAGGCATTTAATGCACTTCATTCGGCCGTGATTGCAGCAAGCTAAAGGTTGAAAGGTGATGAATACCAAAGCCCCAACTGCAAGTGTTCGGATGAATCCACCTACTTACCACTCATATTATAAATGTGGGAACGGATACGGACATCCGTCGCAATAAGATTCCTCTAGGTGATCTGATAATCTGACATGGGCTTCTTGAAAGGCAATAGTGCCTGGGAAGTGGGTGCCGTAAGCGGCAAGTGGGAAGTCGCAAATCAGCTGTATAAGGGGACCTTTCTGATTGATTTAAGATGTCGCCGAATACGACTAAAGGGTATTTTGAGCATGGGAGACAAGCAGGGGCTCTCAGGGCAGAAACGGTTGTATTTTTGGATCATGATTCGCCACTGGTAAGTGAAGGACAAGGCTGTAGCGCCTGGCTTTCATGATTTACTATTTACTCCAGTTAGTAATTCATCCGGTCTAAATGAATTAGAATTCATTGGATGACAGAAGCTCGAAGGATGCAGGGACTTTGGGCTCAATTTCAGGGGCGACAATGGAAGGATGCCCGCCACAACTGTGAAGTTCACGTTGTTAGAGGCAGCACCTGGAAGGTGGGCGTCTTTCGGATACGAGAATGAAGCTGGATGAGCAGACAAGCTCCACAAGAAGAGGCATTTGACAAGGCAGCTCGGACCATGCGGAGGTTAGTCGATGTCAATATTCTCTCCCCCGCCGCAGGTCTTTGTGGGACTTTGCATGGGGTGAGGCCTTTTGAACTGCCAGCCAAGAGATCGTTTTCGGAATAGGTCGATGGAAGATAGTAATCATGAATACCAGTCAGTCAACTATCGCCAGGAGTAAACTGCGAACCTTGAGACCAGAAATATCGACGTCTCATTCTTACTTGTTTTCTCTTGGACCTTAACGTACCCTAGAGTACTAGATCAAATATACCTAAATCTACTCCAAGACATCACTCTCCTTTCCGTTCTCTTCTACTCATAGATAACCATAGTTTTATTTACTACAATTAATTTCATCTTTATTATTATTAGTCCTCTATTGATAAACACCTCTGAAGATGACAGTTGTTAAGTCTATGTCCTCTTGCTAACAATGGTCCATTGCTTATGTGCCTCAAGCCTGTTGGAAATGATGAAGAACCCTTTGAATGTACATCAATACTAACGCATTTATTTCCAATTAACACTGCCAGGGATGCAATACCTTGTTAACAGTCGGGTAATCATCAAGTAACAAGTTGCTTATCCACTGTATCTTACCAGGATCTCACTTCGAGCTAGTTGACATTGATTACACGTCCAGCTCCAAATCAAATTCCCATGGCCACATTGAAGAGGTTTACTTTCTGTTACTTTCTGAACAGGTACTAGAAAGCGTCCGATCCCCAAATTACATATCGCTTTGTGAGCTGGCATCTCGGGAGACTGAACAAACGTGCGGGCCATCGTTAGCATATATACGAGACATTGCATGGAAATCTTCTAAAATTAAGTGATAGGGAAAGAATAATGCTTTGCCATTGCTCTCACAAGCTCGGCTTCTCACTTCCCATGAACACGCAGACGAGTCTTACTGGCGACAGAGGACCTTGATGTTTGGTTTTAGGGTTTGCCAAGTCGCCCGACAGTAAATGAGAGAGCCATGCACATCTTGAAGCCGAGAAGCGTAACCGACGGATATCCGTAGAAAGATTTTGTTGGCGAATGGGTGGACATGTCGGAGGATCTTACCGAGGGAGAGACGGACGTGGTTGTCCAGCACGAAATCCAGGAACGATATGCTGATATGTCGGTTGTTTCGGCGAAGCTATGCAACTACTCGGGCCTTTAAATCCTGCTTCCCTTCTATTTTAAGGTCGCCATCACCGGCCTGACTGAACCGCATAGCTCAAGTCCACCCCGTACTTGCGAAAGATCCCATATCCCGCTCGCATATCGCAACCTTCATCAACAGACACAAGTCACTGTCGCCCGACAGCAGATTGCTACTGGAGCTAGCCGTGGTCAAGGTTCAGAAGCGACCAAAGGTTAGCTTACCATTAATACGACTGGGCATTTTATGTTTGCCCCTCATCAAGATTTCGACCATTCTCCTTGATATAAGGAGGTTCCTGATTGCAGATTTTCTTCATTTCGTCTAAGACTCGTCGCCCCCACAGATCGATAATAGCTAATCGCATAGCAATCCAAGAAGCAGCCATGGGAGAGTCACTCGTAAAGTGTAGGTTTCTAATTCTATCCGACACCCACGGCGAAGATTTGTCACCGCAATTCGATTTCAACGAGAGTTCCATCGATGTAACTCATTTACTGTGGAGATTTGACGACCGACTCAAACCTGCATGAGTTCAAGAATACTTTGGAAATGCTCGACAATATCAAAGCATCTCTAGAGCTTGGTGTTCCTGGGAATCACGATTTCTTTCTTGACAAAGCATCGTATACAGCCCTTCTAGACCACGAACACCTGGGAAAGGATCTGGTAGAGGAGACCTGTGGAAAGTATGCGCGTGTGGGAGAAATATTCACAAATTACTAAGATATACACCTTTTGGATGAAGGTACGCATACCTTCCAGCTGCAAATTTCAAAGTCTTTGCTGGCCCTTTTGCCCCATCTCAGAGCAATATGGGATTTCATTATTCCTCCAGAGGCAACCAAACAGGGGAGATTGAAGAGCCAGACGTGGTCATTACCCATGGTCCACCTGAAGGCACCCTCGATCGAACAATTTTACGAACCCGCGCGGGATGCCCTTAATTATGTGCTGCTATAGCTCGTCAACGACCGCGATTACATTACTTTGATCATATACATAAGGGCTAGGGGGCGAATTCGGTGACATGGAGAGAGAATGTCTCAACGGACCTATCCCATTTCACCGTTGACAAAAAGAAATCGACTACCATTACAACTTAAGCAAGCTTAAATCAAGTATTATCCGGAAATTAAGAGGAAGAAGAGGTAAATTTAAAACAGCCAAAGCTCCAAAGGCAGTGCGGTGGGGTACATACCAATTATTGTGCAGCGGACGATTGTTGCATCAAGAAAGGTGTGAAAACGCTATTTGTAAACGCATCAATCCAAGCCGCGGATGGGAGCCGACGCAACTGCCTTGGATAGTTGACATCAAACTTCCACAAGCTTAGATTCAAACTTTACCACTGTCGACTAAAGTTGTGGGGAAGTGACAGGCCGAGAAGAATTTGGATATGAGAGACAATCAGCAAAGAACGTGGCTGGCTTGAAATCACCAAGTCCTCCTTGAGAACCTCAATTGATACCAGAGATATATACCTTACTTGGCCAAACGCCGCTATTAAGTCGACGCTTATTTTTTCAAATCGGGTAGAGTTGAAAAATTATTTAATTTCGTCATCTGTAGAAAAATAACAGCCTTTTTTTACCTCTTTTTTATATTTTCTGTTGAAAATACCTTCTTGAAAGATACATCTTTCCGTGACTTTACGGCAGCTACGATAGGTCAATTGACTAGTCGAAAGCATGAACTATTTGATCAAATGAGACTACACACACGAATCCAAATCCTATTTTTATAACTGTTGTGGAATGTTATTTGATATTGGGGCAGTTGGCAGCTTGCATTTTCAACTCGTAAATCTATGGTGTGGGATTGCATTATCCCCAACCGCTATCACAGGCAGTAACCAATGAGCATAAGACTGTTTTACAACTTCTTATTGACAAAGGTGCGTTAATTGAGGCCTATGATGATTATGGTTAAATGCAATTGTCATTAGAGTAGTCCATGGTTATTATACTATTACACAGCTCCTCATTAAGAGGAGCATCAATTGAGTGTAAATGTGACAAAATCCGGACACCACTATCAGAAGCGGCGTTACACGGCAATGATGCTGTTGTGAAACTACTCGCTGACAGAGGCGCTCAGATTGCAAGGCTTTGCCGAAGCTGCTTATGGAGAAAAATGCCTTAATCAACACTCCCGATGCCAAAAGGCGGCAACGATGTCATGGTGAAGGCTTCACATCCCGGCTCCGCTACAACCTCAGCCCAGCAAAAGTGCCAGAAAAGACAACCCTACAAGGAAGCGACCACCACCACGGCTCGCAAGACAAAACCTGATTAGAAGGGCTACAATCATTGGCCATGGAAGGCCATCAAGCTGATTAAGTAATTGACACCCTCCCCAGTTCCCCAAGATGTAATCGGGACAGCTCCGCCCTAGTGCGATTACAAAGCCCAAGCACCAATGGCGTGATGCACCATCTCCAGTTTGCTCTGGAGAAGCCGAAAGTTCCTGTTCGATTTGGGAACGACGCTATCACCATTCTATTGCGTGCGGGAAAGCTCACCGATCGAGGTGAATAATGACACTAATGAATCACCCTAGCTTCCGTATGCCAGAGGAGATTCATGGGTGGTGGGAGCAATGATCACCCAGGGTCCTCGCTAACGTCCTCTTGAGGGGAATGGCATGGGGGCCATGGGGGCCATGACAGGATCACATTTTTCAGATACGGCGGCCCGGCATCGATGTGGAGGGCAGGGTGGCAGAAGGAGTCGCGGTGGGCCAAACTACTGCGAAAACGGCGCAATTGATGGGGCCCGGCATCCGTGTCGAACCGCCTCTTGTCTTCTGCAGTTCTTATCTTGCATATCTCATTTTCTTCCCTCTTTAATTCCATCCAGGCGCGTTTGGCAGCGCTGCTCTCCTGCTCCGACCTGTCCGAATTGACATCGCACAATGACTCTGCAGAATGAGACGACCCCGCTGCTGCGCACCTCAAGCGGGCAGCAGCAGGAAGACGCCGGCAAAGGCTGGTTCAAGCGGGCGCTCCGGACCGTCTTCCATGTCGAGAATCGCATCTTGTTTGCCGGCTTCCTCATCACCCTCTCCTTCAGCTTCACACAAGTCCCGTGAGCCTCTAGACACGTTCCGCATGCTCATTCTACCCCAATTAACCACAGTGCTGCCTAGGCTGCTTTACGTATTTCGGTTGATGGAGTGCGATATCTACTATGACACCCACCCTCCGTATGAAGGCGACGGCGATCGCTGCAGTGTCAATTCCATCTCGGCAGGCACCGCCACCCAGTTCAGTATTCTGGGCATGAGCACAACTCTTTGTGGTCCGTTCCCATTCATTCCGCAGCCCTCTACGGGAGAGATCCGGGCCGACAGTCACTGACCTGAGCTTGCGTTGTACAGGAACGATAAACTTGTTCGTTACCGGATGGATGTCGAAGAAGTACGGGCCCCGCGCGGCGATCCTCGCCCAGACGTTTGTGCCCGCCATCCGTGTCTTGACCCAGATCATCGGCGTCGTGGCTGGGAGGAGGGAAGGCATCGTCATTATCCAGGCTACCCAATTGATCACAATTCTCGGAGGGCCGGCAGGCTATATGTAGGCCGAGATGCCTCCTTTGGACCCTATCAACTTTGAACTGACGAAGACAGTCTCATGGCGAACATCATTACTGGAGAGCTCGTTGAGCCTGCCAGACGCACCGCCGTGTTCGGTCAACTCCAAGGGACCATCATGCTGGGCCAGGGCATCGGATACCTAGGTAGATGCTCCCGTTCCTTAACCCTCCCACCAGTCCCCTTCACCGGGGTTCCCAGACTAACGAAGAACGTATTCCAGCTGGCGGCATGCTCGGTGACATTGACATCCGGGCCCCATTCGACACTGCCTTCATATTCTTCCTCATCTCTGCAGTCTACGTCCAATTCGCATTGCCATACATCGACCCAAGCTCCATGACCGACGGGAAGAAATCAGACAAGGGCGCCATAGCTGCGTTCCTGGCCCCTCTGAAAATCCTCGTTCCCCAGCGCCTGCGTCTCGCGGATGGTCGAATCAAGAAGCACTATGGCGTCATCTTCCTCTGCGGCGGCATTTTCATCGGCGTGGTATGTTAATACTGTTCCCTTGGCATTAATACACTCTCCAGGCTGATTTCCTCTCTATAGTTAGCGACAGGCTACGCGCCTCTGCTCATCCAGATGTACGCGACCGGGAACCTCGGCTTCTCCCAGGCGGACAACGGCTGGCTCATGAGCGGGTTCGCCATGATGCGCGCGCTCTTCCTGATCAGTGCGTTCCCCAAGATCATCTCCTCCGGCCGACGATGGATGACCCCGTCGTCGTCGGCAGCACCCGAAGAGACCGACGAGCAGACCGACGAGGCGCAGCTGCCCACCGACCCGGCCGAGTTCGACGCGCCAGTGGGAGACCAGGCCGACGAGGAGCCCGTAAAGCCGCCGGCGCACAGCAGGCAGGGGGATCGCAACGAGTACCTCTTCGACCTCGTGTTCCTGCGCTGGTCGCTGCTCGTCGACGGCGCTCTGACGACCCTCGCTGCCTTTGCGACGGAGAAATGGCACATCTATCTCGGTATGTCATGACCCTCCCCCGTGCATCCCGTTTAACCCTGGCTAACCTGGATTGATGCACTGGATAGCTACGTTTCTTCTCCCGCTTGGATCTGGCACGGCGCCGGCGGCAAAGGGGGTCATCACGGACATGTGCTCCGGGTCCCGGCGAGCGGACGCGCTGAACGCGGTGACGCTGGTTGAGAACATCGCGAGGCTGGCGACGCAGGGTCTGTTCGGTTTCGTGTTCTCGACGCTTTCAAATCTCGGGATAGCCTATGTGACCTTCTTCTGCAATGCGGTAGGTTGTCTTCCCCCGGCGCTTTCGTTGATCGTTCGAGTGACTGATGATTTTTTTTGTTAGGCGATTGCGGTGTTGGGAATGGGGGTTCTGTTGTTTTCTCACTTCCCTCCTGAGGGCGCGCAGGTCATCGACCAGGAGAAGGACGAAGATGGAGATGAGGATCAAGAGAGGCCCGAGGCATGATGATGGGATGGAAGCGACGGAGAATTACTTGCAATATTGCATTGCGGGGCATAAAAGGGACAGGGCAAACTGGGGAAAAGAAGGGAAATGAAAAAGGTGGATGGGAACACAAAGGAAAGGCTGGACATGATTCTATGCGTCCATTGAATTTTTCAACTACCCGAGAATCGGCAACTGACTTGGTACCACGGTTGGTACGAACATTAGGTTGATGAAGCACAGGTTACATTACACTTACCAGCGACGAAACACAGCACACGGGCAATGACCATAGAGGCTTTTTTTTTTTTTTTTTTTTTTTTTTTGGAAAATGACATAAACGGGGGATTGGTTTGAATTTCCTTTCTCATTGGTAAACCTCGAACTATCAGAGTACTATGATGTCCATAAGCAAGCAGCAGCAGTGTCGTTTGGCTCACCTCTTGATTTGATTTCCTTGCTCACCTTGATCAGCGATATGAAAACAGAAGCAGCAGCTACCGCAAAGACACCCTAAACCATTTCAGCATGCAGGGCCTTCTCGCCCGATCAATATCGCCCGAAATAACCCTCGTTTCTCACTCTCTCTCACCGTGGCTCACTCATGTGAGTAGAAGCTCACCTAGATCGGGCTTCAGCGTCGAGTACGCTTCGTCTGGCGATCGTCAATGGGCGGCGTGCCCTCCCTGTGAATAATCGCCTGCCCAACCCCAAACACATCAGCCTGGCCGTCCCCAAGATCCAGCCCCTCCATCAACCCAGGGAGCGGCTCCTCCACCGGCCGCGCGAGGGCGCCGTCCCGGTCGCCGATGTTGAGCATCCGCTGGACCCTTCCGCCCAGGTCCAGGTCGCCCCTGCGAAATTTAGCATAGAAGATCACGAAGCGGCTCCGGCCCTCGACGACGTGGGGGATGATCTCCTGCCTGATGACGCGGTACGCGAGCGGGTTGAAGCGCTTGACGGCGGGCTTCTTGCCCCGCCTCTTCTCCACGATGGCCATGAGGGCGTACACGACGTCGCAGGGGTTCTCGATCCAGTCGTACGTCTCGATGATCTGCTCGCCGGGGAGGGTGACGGCGAAGATGGTGGGGACGTACTTTTCGGAGTTGTATCCGCTGCACACAAACTTGAAGATGGCGGGCAGGTTGTCGTCGACGATGGGTGCCGAGTGCTGCCTGATGACTTGAAAGTAGAAGAATCTCGGGATGGACTGGTAACCCTTCCAGTTGGGGGCGCGGTTAGTAAGCACGTCGTCGATATAGAACTCGGGTCGATTCCAGAGCGTAGCCGCCATAGCGTCGCAAAACACCAGGTCGAAGGTGTCATTGTGCGGCTCCAGCCCGAGCTGTGAGCAGATCAGTTCCCCGCAGTCCTCGACCGCGTGCAATGGTCGCCTTACCCAAGCGAGACGGAGGATGTGGTTCTGGGCCTCGGCGGCCGCGTCGCCCCGGAATCGTTGACCAACGAGGGCGGACTGGATCGTTAGAATGTAGTACACCTGCTGGATCAGGCGGAGGAGGCACTTAACGGGTTCGAAGGCGGCGGCGGTGGCTATGACTGGGTGCGGCGCATGGGAACCGAGCGTCGAGAGCTCGACTACCTGCTTGTGAGCAGGGGAAGAGCGGATGTCTTCGTCCTCGTAGGGGACTTCTGCGTTGGACATGTTTTCTTTGCTTGTGTTTGGGGAGGAGTTGTTGGGTCTGAGGTTGGGATTCTGGATGGGTGGATGATGTTGTTGGAAGAATTGCAATGACAGCCTGAGAAGTAGGCGGCCTTTTATACAAGTCCTAGAAGCCCGGATCACTGGGCTCTCAAATTTCCCTTCTCAGGTGAGAATATTGTCTATTCAAATCCCGGCAGGCCATTCACGTCCTATTTAATGGCATTGCGGTCCATTATCCCAGGGGCGCCAACAATAGACGTAAATGTGCTCTCGTGAATAGGCCCTCTCACTTTGCATGAAATACAATACCCGACTCTGCGGGATGAATACAGTCCCATATCCTCGCAACCATTGTAGTCATATTCGATACAGAGCCCCGAAATACCCTTCCAACTTGCCGCCAGAAAAGGTTTGACAATAGCCAGTTCTTGTCAAATCCATCGGGGGGTTCCGTCCATTGTTCGACGTCACGTTCGCCATCTCAATGTCACTTTAAAGACCGGACTGCAAACTGCACACTAAGAATGAGGTTTGATTCTGCTAACTAGGTAGGTAACGTAATGCCGTACGCACCTTGGAGAGTTTTTTTTAGCTTGGTCAGAGCAACAACCGACATCTTTGGGAAAGTGAAGGCTATGGAGAACGCGATCTTCGAATACAAAAGAGATATGATGATTTCTTTCCCATTGATCACAGTTCTTGCAGCAGCAAAATACATTCGAACGACGAGGATACACTAGGGGGACCTAAACCGGGCAGTCAAATTGATCTGACAACTAAAAGCCTGAAGTCGTTGTGGCGAATGAAACAGCCTTTTGGGGAAGACAGTCAAACAAATTCGCCTTGTCGCATGGCAAAAGTAGCTTCCTAGTCGGCGGGCCGTAGGCAATGACTGTCACTGGGAGGAACTGGACTTTTCGTAGGAGTTACGGGATGCAAGGCCATGGAAGTGAATGCCTGGCAAAGATAACCAAGCAGAAAGCTCGTCGATTCCAACTCGAGGTTCGAGTACAGATACTCGGGCCGTCTTTACACTGGATGTACTCTGAGTAGGTTCCTTGTAGGCACAGCTGACGTCTGGCATCGCACACTCACGGCCAGCTGGAGGCAGATGTTGGCAGATGTTGGCCTAACAACTCCCACCAGAGGAGCAAACAGTTATTACTGTCCATCCATCACACCACGCAGGAAAACAGAAGGGCTCACTCCTTCAATCAGAGTTGCACCTTGCAATCACTCACTTCCTGCAGCATCCAAAACCCTGCAGCCTCATCCAATCACCCAACCTATTCCAAGCATCCAGCGCGACGGCCAAACTATCGTCCTCAATCTCACCACTCCGCAACTAGCAGATCTCGAAGCCGTTTTCCCGTTTCATCTCCCGATTACATCTCGGTTTCTTCTCCCTCGTCGTACCCATCTTGGCCTCTCACCCTTGGAGCGCCTCGGTGAAACCATCACCATCTACTCACCTCCCTCCGCATCACCACGAGAGATCGACGCCATGGCCCGTCTCAAGCTCCGCCGCGGGTACTTCCCCTACCCACCTGCCCCGATCATCTCGCTTCCACCGGAATTTCCTCCCCCTCCGCCATCGTATGAAGAGAGCTCCGGCTCCAGGCCACCAGCCTATGCCGCCCCAGGCCAAGGCCCAAACATCTCCCCCGCCCCCGAGGTGAACCAGGCGCGGGCTGCCTTCACCCAGGAACTGCCCCAAGAGCAGCCCTACCCGCGCTGGGTCAGACGCAACCTCTCTGCTACCACATTCACCGTCTTCTTCATGATCCTCGTCGCCATCCCCCATCTGATCTTCGCCTGCATCGTCGCCAAGGACCTCCACGACGAGTACGTATCACCCAACCACTTCACCCTTCAACCCAAAACTAACCACTCCCTCAGTGAAAATGGCTCCAAGTGCGGCAGATACTACATCTCCCCCGCCGACGGTCCCCCCAACAACAGCGAGGGTTTGACATTCCCTACCCCGGGCCTCTTCCACGCCGACTGCCGCCTCCTCTACCACTGGTCCCAGCTCCTAACCGCCGCCGCATCAACCACCGCCCTCCGCGCCCTCCTCCAGGCCATCCCCGTCCAGAGATCCCTCAACTCAACGACCCCCAACCGCCCCCGCAGCCGCTTCGCCAAGTCTCTCCTCTCCCCTTCGGGCGTCTACGCCCTCCGCACCCTCTCCTCCTTCTCCCTCTTGGCCCTCTACCTCTCCTCGGGTCTCATCCTCTGCACAAGTCGCTTCATCACCGGCCCCCAGGCCCACGACTCCCTCCGCCCAGTCTACCTCGGCAGCGCTGGCCTCATCTGGTTCTCCGTCCTCCTCACGGGGCATCAGGCCGCCACGACGGGTATAGCAAGCTGGTGCGCGAGAGGCATGAGGGGCCCCCACGAGCGATCCTACACCCCTTCGATCTGATAGTTAAGATGGCCGCACAAATGTAGAACTCACTGTATGGAAAGAATCAATAATGGAAGATATACGTCTTTATTCAATTCCAACGCCAGATGCTCCTTCACTTCCCAACTCGTGCTTTCTACTAGAAGATATCATGTCTCTTTGGGAACGTAAAAAAAGTCAAACGTAACAAATTGTACAGAAAACAACAACAGGGCCTTCCTCGCTCTCCTGCCCCAGATATGGTCATCGGTCGTCATTGGGTATAAGATGAAGAATACAGGGGATGAGGGAAATGACGATGCCGAAATCCATCATTGGGGTATTTTTCTCTATGCAAAACCCCCGCCATCAAATCCAGAAACGTAAATTAGAAAGAAGCGGTCACCAAATTCATTAGACACCTCTGAACATGCGCACAATCATGAACCAGCAGGCGCCTATGAACTTGAAGCCACTCAGACCGGCCACACTGTAGAGGACGACGAGCAGATAAATGTTGGTTCGCTCCTCCTCGCTCTCTTCCGTGCTGCCCCCGGTGCTCAGGGTATCAAGACCTCCTGTGCTCAGCACCACAGCGCAGAGAGCAAAGTTTGTGACCATCCAGATGAGAACGACACCAGTTCGCACACCTCTATAGTAGTCCATCTGCTTCTCTTGGAGCTGGGCGGGGGTCGGTGGCTTCTTCTCTTCCACGAACTTGTGGTTGAACGCCGCCAGCTCGCGCTGGTACTGGGCGTTGAGGTCGCCTTCGTCAGGGAGATCCGTCTTGCCCTCACCGTCCTTGGTGCTGACTGATGGAAGCTTCTCGACCTTGTCGTCACCCTTGGTACCCCATGAGACATCGTGGGTGTTGCAAAAGGCGTAGACGTTGAGAACGTTGGTGAAGGTAGGGGTCAGCAACATGTATTGGCCGATCGAGGTGACCATGTGCCACGGGTCAAACATCATCAGGGATGCGATCAGCCACAGACCAAAAGTTGACATGAGCGAGATGATGAGCGTGTAGAACACCTTGTTCTTGATGAGGTCGCTGATTTGGAATCCGCCCTGAACATGCTCCATAATGGCAATAACAGCAATGTAGATGGCGGCAAACAGAAGATATCTAAACATGTACAGTTAGCAAAATATCACAATCAGAAGACAGATTGTTAGAGCAGATACTTACATCATGAGAATACCCCAGAACCAAACCATGGCAGTGTAGAGCTTTCCAGATCCGGCGGGCCGATTTCCTAGTGAAAGAACGAAGCATGCACCCAAGAAGGCACCGTACATCCAGGTGAAAACAACACCCAGAATCTGACCGGGCCTCTTGAGCAGATTGTCCGCACCCAAACTCTCCGTGAGAATCTTGAAAACCAGGAAGAAGTTGCCGAGAGCGAACCATGCAAAGATAGTGTTGATGGTCTGGAAAATGAACTCGATGAAGAAGAAGAACTTGCGGATGGCCGAGTGGTCGGAGCGGAAGAAATCGTAGAAATGCACGCCGGCATAAATAGAGGCGAAGAAGGAACCATTGAGCCAACGACGTCGTTGCAAAATCAGTTCAGTCACGGTATCTGGCACATCCGTCTCTCCAGTCGCCGACTTAACGTATTGCAGAATCCAATGGCAGTTCCTCTTCGTAACCAGCTCGAAACAGAGAATACGATCTTCGGCGAGGTACATGTTGGACTCGAAAAGACCGGCATCAGCACCTCCGTGGAGTGTCTCACCCAAAAAGTACTTCTCCAAGGGGCCCTTGCCGTTCTTGTCATTCTGAAGAGCAACATATCGATAGGCAGAGAAGGCACCTGGCAACACGGAAATAAAACCAAACGCAGACTCCAGCGGCTTGTCCAGGATGTTACTCATCTTATACTCGAAGTTCTGGGCCGCAACGATCGGGTTCAAAAGAAGCTTGCCGCCAGTTCCCAACATGGCCTTGATCTCACCGCAGGCACCTCCGCACATGGGCTCGAGATCGAACGCTTTCCAGAGATGGTAGATGGACCTGCCACCGGGTCTCGTACCGGCATCGATCAGAACACAAATGTTGGGGTCCAAAACACGTCCAAATGCCTGGAAAAACCAACGGTGGGAGTTGATCTTCTTCTGGTTCTTCTCCTTCAAGCAAAAGAGGATTTGCACAGGCTGCTTGTTGTGGACCAGCGAAACAACGTTGTTGTTGAGCGCCATATGGGTCTGTGTGGTGTACTCGTAGATGTGTGCCGTCACGTCCTTGTCGTTCACCTTCTGCTTCGCAATACCCTCCTGATAGACACCCATACCCGCCAACAAAGCCCTCGTTCTCGGGTTAATCTTGGCTCGGCCATCGCTGACAACGCACACCACAATCTTCTTCCATGCGTCCTTGCCCCAGGTCTTGCTGTTTGGTCGGCTGTTGCACATATAATCAATATTCTTGAAGACACCGATCATTGTTCGGGCAAAAAGGATATCGTCTTCGTTATACATCGTCACCACGATGAACAGCTCGGTGTGTCGGGGTTTGCTGAAGAGCCTCTGGCGCAGAGTAAAGTTTTCTTCGTAAAACAGGGACGGGTCGCAGGTGGCTGCAGTATATCGCATGTGGGTAAACTCGTCTCGCTCGCCGTGCTTGACATTCTGAAGGAGTATGGGGGGAACTGGGCAATCCAAAACAAGATTGCCACGGTACAGCAGAACTCGCTTCACTGTCTTGTGCCGCCGAAGGCCTCCTCCTCCCTCTTGCGGTGGTGGTTGCTGCTGCTGCTGATGAGGATCATCGGTGTACTGGTCGGAGTTTTGGTGCGAGAGCATCGGTCGTCCATCATGGTCGTCGTAGTCGTACCCATGACCTTCATGCCCAGGAGTCGTTGATTCATAGCCCCTGTTATAGTATGCATCGTGGTGAGCTTCGGGGTTGACGGCATAGTCGCCGTGGTCGGCGCCGACCTGGCTGCCGTTGTTGTGGTAGCCAGACAAGTTGTCAATAGAGTGCTGTTGGATTGCCACCGTTAGCCTGTCAGCCGTCATGGAAAGCTCAGTCCGAGGGGGTACCCACCGCCGCATTCATTGTCAGGAAATCGCTTGGGGTTCCCAACCTCAGATCCGCCGGATTATAGCCCTGGTGTTCTCCCGGAGATGGGAACCTCGCCGGGGAGCCGTGTTGAGGCATGTCCAGTCGCTGCTGTGATTGCGAGTAGGAATACGGGTTCTCCTCGAGTTGGTATCCAGGTTGTTGATGGCCAGGCGAGGGGCTGCGATGGCGGCCCCTCTGATCCCTCGGATCCATCTGGTCGTAATAGTCGTCGTCTGGGAATTAGGAGTGTTAGTTAGGCTTTGTCGAGGGGTCGTGGTTGAGTGGGCAGCAGCTGGTGTTTGAGGGGGGGGTTATCGGGGTGGTAGCTGCGAAACGTTGCAACTTGGTTTGCGCCAGGCAAAACGGCCGTCGCACCGTCGTCGCACGTTGCCAGCAAATCGTTACAATGCTGCAACGAATGACTTGGAGCAAAGAGGGTGCGCAGGATGGATTGGGATGTAGTATTTGCAACTGATAGGGTGGATTGGGCTCGAGGGACACGAGAAGCAACTGCAAGCTGGGCAGGGCGCATCAACTCACTTAGCCTGTTATACGACATGGTTTCAGATCTTTCATGCCCTTGTTATGTGTCGTTTGTCGTCGTCACCATTCGGCTGCCCAGCCCAGTATAGTGTGGGAACAACCAAGATCACCGGTCTGTGACAAAGGGCGAATCGCTAGGTGTGTCAAGGTGTAGGAGGGAGGTCTCGGTTCCTGGACTCGGTACGGGTGGAATGCTGCAAGGGCCCACGGATGGAGGGTGCGGTGCGATGCGATGCGATGAGCGAGGACAAAACGTGGCTTCTTGGAATGGACTCGCCCGCCGAGGACCTGTCTCTGTTGGAACAAAGGAAGACAAAGAATTGCAAGTGGTGCAGGTGGGACCTTTGAAGCAAAATGCCCGAGGATGGCTGCGAACAAGCTCAGAGGCGGCGGGAGAAGGTTTCAAATGACCAACGGGACAAGGTCAAGGAGAAGATGGTCGGAGCTGGAGATGGGTTTCAGTGGCTGGCCTAGCAACACATGCAGCCAAGTGGAGGAGGGGCGATGGGCAATGCGCACACAGAACTGCACCTCCTCAGCAATATGTTGTAATAGTCCCCAGCGGAGTGGGCTCACGTAGTCGCTACCGTCTTAGGCCATGGCCTGTAATTATAAGGGGGCGCTGCACATGGGGCCCCGTCAGCCCCGGCCTGGTGGCAGTACTACGTCGTCGTAGCGCGCTAGGCAGTTTGCTGGGCTGCCGTCTGCCTCGCAAGGGTTCAGCCGAGTGTCCTGGAGATCGCTCGTAGACAGGTGGAGCCACAGTGTTTCATCTGCTGGTTCCATCCTCCCAACGGCCATGATCACCGAATATTAAGGACTTGGCCAGCATCACATCGAGCCCATTGCCGCCAATCGCCATTTGCCCACAGGATTTCCTTCCAGATTCGCAGCAGCGCCCGGCCAATCAGCGTCCGTAGCGATGAAATTATATCTTGCCCTATCTTGCTAGGAGCACACTTGCCAGTGCCATCCGTCTGGAAAGAACGGCGGCTGCAAGTGCCCGCCCAGCTCCCAATCCATTGCCAACTTGCATCCGCTACGCTCAGCCGCTACGCTCAGCTGAAGCTCTATCAGAACTAGATCTGTCAGCCGACAGCAGCCAAGGCCAGACTTGCGCAAGTCACCAGCAACCATATTCAGGTCTATTACAACTAGTTGCGCCACCAGTGAGAAAAAAATGAATGCAGTCCCAATCCCTACTTGCCCATTATCTCATCCCATCATCCATGGAACCTTATCGTCGGGTACCCGAACCCTGTTTGGGGCAACTCGTAGGACCATGACAACAGCCCAGGGCGCAGTTCATGCCATGTACCTCGTAGCAAAAGTCACTATTGGCGACGAGTGGACGCGGCTCTGCGTCATTTGCCCATCTGATGGAACCCGGCGGTCATGCGCTCGGTCTTGGCGTCTCTCACCATCGCATTCTACCATGGACAAGAGCGAGCTGCCGAATGACCATCTTGTCCCTGCAGCGGAGTGATAGCCCTCCCTTTGACACCTTGTGCCCAAAAATAAACCTCCCGACCAAACCCACAGTGTTCTGGTCTATCGCCACCCACACAAGCCACACACCATTGCTAACTAAGCAAGTTCTCGTAGATCTCCGAACTAGTTTTCGCGCTGCTCAGCCCCTACGTAGTCGTATTCCATGTCGCGGCCTTCGAGAAGGAAAACAGGTTTGCCCTAGATGAACATGCTCTGCCCGTTAAACCTTCCTTCTGACGCGCGTACGCCGGCAGGCCGTTAAGCTACCCATTCGTGCAGCGAACGATGTCTTGCCTGTGCTCGCCTTATGTCAGATTGACTCCTCTCTCAGCTCGCTTCAATAATCAGCAATGATATGCCCAGGTACATAGCCCCGGCGGTGTTAGGTCAACCGGGGCGCATTCACCACAAAACGCTGGGGGGTCGGGACCGCTCCAACGGACTTGTGGCTTTTGCTCTTTGCGGGGAGGCAACAACCTCTCGTCAAGGGTACGGAATACTCCGTAGCTACATATGCTGATCTATCACAATCTGTAATGAGAGCAGCTTGTCGTAATGCGGCTAGCACGTTCGTTGAGAAAGCCAACACTGTCCTGGGGGAACGGCTCGACTCCCCAAATCACGACTGATTCAAGCTCAAGAAATGCTGCCAAGGTTGGTTCCAATTGATCCATATCAAGTGGGCATGCGGTTGCATGCTGGTAAAGCTTGTCCCAGGTTCAACCTTAGCTCCAACCGTCCCGAGCTGCTGGAACGCAGCCGGCTGTCACTATTTAGGTTTATATTAACCATACCTGTAGCCACACTATATTAGACTTATTTAGAGCATTCATGCTCTCCCCGGGGCGATTCTCAGGTTGTCATTCTCGTCTTAAGGATCAAGCCCAAGGATAAGCTTCTTCAGCTCAGCCGTACCCATCAAGCCACCTTCCATGGAGCGGAAAGAACGTCTGCCCCAGTGACAAAGGCCGATTCCTTACAAGCCGCTCTTCCAGGAAGAGTGCCTCGTGTCCTCCCGTTATCACAGATGGCACCGCGTTCAGACGCAGGTGTAATCGGTTTTCAGGTGTTAAAGCCCCTGCAAGGGGCTGTTGGCTGACCAGGCACTCATCTTAGCTTGAGAAGTTATTGTACATAGGTGGCTGACCTATTGGATGGCGTGGGCCAGTAAAATCACCGATAAGAAATAATCTACCATGCTACAAATATACAAGGCAATTTCTACGAGCCAAATGTGGCTGTTATACAAGATGTGTGTCGTATTCGTGCCTTATCAGCCACGCCGTCGGAGAATGAGGTCACCCCAGTCAAACCCCGTCTACCAGTTTCTCAGTCTTGAGACAGCTCATCTAATAAATGGAGCGATACACCCATCAAAACGCCGCCGAGCATACAAAGAAAAGATAAGAAAACGCCGAGCCAGCCAAGGACGGCCGCTGTCACGCCTATTTGTACCTCCACAGAGCCATATCTCAGTCCTTCGATAATCGTGGCGGCCGAGGCGATGGCGATCTGCTGCCACGCCATTCCAATATACAGCATAGCTCCGGCAAGACCATTTGTCACAACAAGCACAGTTGCGTATTTAGAAGAAGGGTAAGGCCTGAAGTCTTCGGAACCGTCGTCGGGGGTGTTCCAGCCTGGAAACAGAAGCAGGACTACGAGATTCGACAACGTAAATACTACACCCAATATTCTGTAACAAACGAAGATTAGCGGATTCGGCCTGGTGAATGTGGGTGTCGCAGTATGCTGTCATATTCACGGTCACGTACACAAGAACGGAGGATGTCACATGCTTCTGAAAGTCGAATGCAGCCTCAATAACGCCCAATGGGTCAGTGACATGGGCAGCAGGTTGCCGAAGTCGGCATTGCCAGTCTCCCTGTTGGAGCTTCACGCATATAGACCAGTATCCCACCTGCACTACCTCTGCTCGCATCGGTTCGTCCGCACCCTTCAACGTCCATTGATGCAGGATATCCGGCAGCGTGTCGTTTAGCATGAGCGGGCTTGTGGCATCTACCGGCGCGATGTCTGATCGATACGATATGGAGAGGAGGTGGAAGTTCTGGAGAGTGCCTGTTCTCGAGCATCCGCCAAGAGTCAGACCCAGGCCAACGAGGGATATCACGCTGATTATCATCAAAACGTGATGATACCCAAGAATAGGCACCGGATACTCGTCGGGAGGGTCGGTGGCTGCGATAGCTCATCCGTCAGCGATATGCTCTTCATTTCGGTCAGCGATCGGGAACTCACAGGCAGTCTCTGCGGTTGAGGCGTCAGTAGTGACTGAAAGTGTATCAGCAGGCGTCATTTCGCCGGAAAATACGCTCTCATCCTGGTCTTCTCCCTCGGTGTCTTCCTCGGATTCTAGGCTAGGTGTAGGCGGCCGTCGCCCACGACGCCATGCAGAGAGCATTTTTGGGAAACACCTTCTTTTTTTTTGCTTGAGAGCAACTTATATCGCGAAAACACACAGACCTGGTAGGGAAACGAGGCATCTTGACAGTGGTGGAACGTTTGGAGGGGAAGAAGCGGTGACATGGCCCGCCTTTGCGTGCGCTGTCGCTCGGGTTGGTCCATTTGGTTGGGCCGCTTGTGCGGGGAGTGAGGCTGCAAGCACAGGTGAACAGCGCACAAGATAACAAAGCCAGCACTCCATTCAGCAGGCGATCAGGCTGCTGGACTTCTCCTTCCGGGTCTTTCCTGTGTCGCCCTCTACACGTGGGATCAAGTTATGTCCTTCCCCAATATGTCCAGCGAAATGACGCCCTTACTGCGATCCACATCCCCAGATGGTTCTGCGGCCCCTGGGCAGCAAGGTAAGAAACTTTTTATCGTTTCCTTTAATCTTTTATTCGACTAGCTCTGCTAAGAATAATCACTTACAGCACGCCGGGGCCCGTGGGCATATCTACGAGGGCTTGTTCTCATCATATCAGCCACGGCGCTAGGTAGGGCGATATCCTGCACCACGATCTTTCCTCCGGCTTCTTAATTATATTGACAAGAGAACAGCAATATTACTTTCTGGGTCTACTTCATCTTTCAATATAACCCGTGATTTACACATACTGTCGCTATCATACGACACTGCGTCGAACCAAATGGCCAGCAACCACGCGTTGGATGCCATTTTCAGAGATCGTATCTCAGACAACTCGAACATCAAAGAGATCAGAGTCGGTTACTTCGGCCTATGTGCTGTATCCCGCTCGGACGCTTTCATCTGCAGCCCTCGTCCTCTCGAGATAGCTGAGTCTCTCAAATCCTCGGGGCAGACTGATCCTCTCAACTTGCTCTGGCTTGGGAATCAGCTCCGGTCTGATGCAGTCTCGTCCACCTTTGTGTAGGCTTCCACATGTACTATCCCAGAAGAAAATCATATTCCTGACCTAATTTCACAGATTCCTGAGCGCTGCAGTGCTATTTACGACATTCATCGGCGCACTGGTAGCTTCTGCCTCTTCCAAAACCGAGGGATCAGCTTCGTCAACCATCTTCTCCATCTTCCTAAATCGCTCGCTGTCTTTCACGTGTTTCGCCATATCTATGTTCTTCGCTACCTCTGCCGCATTCACCGCCGCTCTCTGGCAAAATCTCGTGGGCACAACCTCCTCGTTCATGGTAAAGAACCTGGCATTTAGTGCAGTCATGTGCCATCTCGGCCCTGCAGCGGTGGCGCTCGGCTGGACAAGCTTTTCATTGGCCTGCTGTGCCTTTCTCACCCTTCTGATCCCTCTTAGGGGACGCAACATTCCTGATGAGCAACTGTAGCCTGCCTTGGCCCGACAATCTTGGGTGGTGGGTTGCACGGGAGGCAGTGGCACGGAAACTTCAAACTGTCATACACACCTACCGGCTGACTTGGCCCTTGAAACAAGAGCAATCTGGGATATCAATATCTTATCGCCGAGCAGTTTGGGAATTAACCGCAAGTTAATGGGGTAAGCAGACACTCTGGGTTGGGACAGTGCCTGAACATGATGCACTGGCAACTTGACTTCCTCACCGCATCTATCACATATTGCGATGATCTTCTACAGCGTGTATTTTAGATTTTAGACATTGTGCCACTTGCTGACATATGCGTTAAGTGGGAAAATGAACAGAGTTTCCTACCATCTGAATTCCGCACCTACATAAGCTACTGATCATAGTCGTGTTTGTGCCGCATACAAAACAGTATTCTCCCAAATCACTACTCTCCATCCTTCTCTATGTCTACTCCGCTCCAGATGTTAACAACTATCAAATAGCTTCACAAACTGGCATTCCCATTTCCCTTTGGCCTCCTAAGTCCTCCCACTACACCCACTCCTCATTCCAGGCCAAAAGGCCCCCGACACTAGCCCTCCGAGCACCACGTGGTTTAGACGCAGTTCTTGCCGGCCTTTCCAACGCACAGCAGGCCAGAAGCGCAAGCCCATGGTGCGGTACCGCGCGAAGCACAGGTCACAAACTTGGATGCCATGGTTAGCGTTGGTCTACCATCAGCGGATATTATCTTTTCACATACCTTGTCGGCACAGTTGAGGAGGGTAGCGTTCCAGCCAATGCAGGCGAAGAAAGCCCAGGCTCGCTTTCCCCATCTGACGAGGAGAGCGCCGAGGATGCGGATGATGGCAAGGTAGAATCGCTTGCTGATGGAGACATTCTCAAGGAATTCGTCAAAGACAGTGTCGTCAAGGTCGATTGGCTTGCCCTCGGCGTCAAAGGCCTCGACTGTGATTCGATATACGTTAGCAAGATGGTCTAGCTAAAAGGGGATGAGATTTGAAGGAGCGTACCTCCGCCATCTTCGGTCTCGATCAGAGTGCCCTCGAAGTTACCGTCGACGGTGAACTCGAGCTTTGTAAGGTTGCCGTCCAGAGGAACAGGGACGATTTCAACCTGTCCGAAGACGGCAGCAGCGTCAATCTCACGCTTGAGAAGGTCCATGTCCTGCTTGATGGACGCGGCGGAGACGACGGCTGTGACCGCGAGGAGGATGACGGAGTAGAAGAAACGCATCTTAATGGTGTGGTTGGGTAAGAAGGAAGTGGTTAGAAGCTTGAGCTCGATGTTTTGGTCTTGGGAGAGGCTTCAGAGTGCTTGCTGTCTGGTTGGAAGAGTTCAAGATCGAAACTCGGGAGGAATCATGGACGCCTTATATACACGCGAGAGAAGCAGATATCACATTTCGAGCATCACGTATCTCGAGCAAAGACCGGGAAAGGAGCGGGACACTTTCGCCCGTGCTGACCATTTCGAGTATGCTCGATGCCTCCTCATCGATGACCATCACGGCTGAACCCAGCATGCATGCTTTAGAGGCATTCCCAAGAAGCCACAAGCCACCAATCGACGAATCCGGGAGCTTTATCAAAGCACACAACATCTGCCAAGCTCCCTCACGCGTCAAGATATGTACGCTATGGCCTCTCATTATGGATAGCTGCTTGCTCTTGTCGCTCTGCAGTTTCACAATGTTCAGGTGAGGGGGCAACGGTCCATAGGCTGGTGGAGTATGCTCTACAAGGTGGTGAACTTGGGCTCTGTTGATCTGGTGTTGGCCAAGCATCTCAGATGCTCCGCAGGCGAGAGACTGCCATGAGTGGCTCCATGAGATCGGCACGGCTGAGCAGGGGCGTTTCCTTATTCCAGATGCCGTGCCACACCGCAACACTTTATACGGCTTAAAGCGGAACCAGGCTCCATTTAACCTCAAATCCTCCTGCACATGCCGTCATGTAGTGACAGTAAACATCCGGTGGGACCTGGGATCAACGTTCCGGCCGGGTCCCCCCCGCGACTGGGCAACCAATCCGTGATGCCATCGTATATTTAGCTTAATACTTTTTCATGCTCTGCCTCTATGATGATCACAATGTAACCGCAGAGGTTGCCATGTTGAGCTCGCTCCACGTGGAGTCCCGGGCCCTGAATATCATGACCTGCAGGACCGTGGCTTCGCAACACCTGCCCGGATTGAGAACAAAGGTGAGTGAAGGCGGGGCTCTCCACTGTTGTTTCTGCGAGATGTCTGAAAACTGAGTGTGGGATATTACTGTCTCAGTAATAATGATGCTAGATGCCGCATCTAACCTAAGATGCCGGTTGGGCTTTAAACAAGCCATCGGACCTGCATCTCGTTGGGTGCAACAAGTTTTCGGCAGCATTGGATGGTGTCTTACCAATGTGAGCATAGTCTTACCATTCCCATCAATATCGAGAAGTGGGAGAAAGACATTCCTCACGTGCTACCTGCCCTCATGGCATTGGAACATGGCCTATCCGTCCCCAAGGCACAATCCGGCATGATTTCTACCCAATGAGGGACTGATCAGAGACTCGATCCCAACATTCCCTTCGCTCCATCCCTCAAAGGGCGAATCGGATAACTGTGGGCTGGATACGGGTTGCCAAGTCTGTAGCTGGACCTCTATTGGCCTTGAGATCCCGCGCTGGGGCAGCCTGGATGTTTCAGAATCCTGTGCGCCTGCATGAGGCGTATTTCATCTAGGTGATACGGAATCCAGCCTTGGCTTCAGTCTTTCTCGCACCTACACCGATCCGAAGAGTAAATTCGCCGCGATGTGCGACTTCCCGAGTGCCCCCATCATCACGCCCAATACATCCGTCCTGAACACTACCTTAGGATGGAGAATATAATCTCGGCATAGCTTCAATAGATAGAATATTTAGATTGTTCATGTTTATTCGCCTATGTATAGCAATTGGAATAGAATTCATCGAAGTATGGTCGAGTCACACAATGATCCCACGCGAGGTCAGCTCTCGTCTATCCAACCCTCCAAATCACCTAAATATTACCATTCAAGCACCCTCGGAGATAGCTTTGTGTGTGTTCTTTTCTGTGCTTCGGCCTCTATACCTTGAATCTGTTTTGATTTAGCCCTTATGGGCATGGTCCTTCGCTGTAAGGTAAAGATATCCGATAACACCATATCGAGCCAGCACATCAATTGAATTCTATTTGATACATTTATCAAGTCTAGACAGACTAGGCTTCTTGCTAGTAATATACAGCATTGCTTAAATTATATTTTGAGATAGTATCGTCCTTAGAAACCCCAGTACTCCCAAATGCGATCACAAAACAAGACTTGCTGGCTAGTTTGACCTAGAGAAAAAAACATCTTGGCTGTACTCAACTCTAAAAGATGCTCGTTGCTAAATTGTGCTACAACGCAGCCTATAAGATGTAGTCCCATTTTCATTTGCAAAATATGTCATGATCATTTTAGCTTGACCTGCTGGAGAATACCTAGGTACTATAGAGGCGTTTTGCTGGAAGAGAAGTGTCTGGAGCCAAAGACGCGGCTCCCCTCCCGCTGTTATAATCGCAACGATGACCACGGACATTCAATTGGATTTTCCAATTGCACAAAATACAATCATATCTAATCCAACATA